ATAGCTAAGTCATTCATAGTTGATCGTCATAAAATCTTGCTGTTACTGTATACAATGTTCTTCTGGTTCTCCTCACTTAACTTTGCATTCAGTTCTTGTCTTTCCAGGTTTTTTTTTTTAAAGCTTTCTGTGCACCATTTTTTATAGCATAACAGTATTCTGTCACAATCACATATCATATCTTGTCCAACCATTTCCCAATTGATGAGTATCCCTTCAATTTCCAATTCTTTGCTACTACAAAAAGAGCTGCTATAAATATTTTTGTACTGTTCTTACAAATTTGAATCAGTCCCATGTAGACACTGTAAACGAGAGACTGTTATCTTAGAAACTTGCTGAAAAGATTTTTCCTAGTTTTCTGTTTCCCTCCTAATTTTAGAAGTTTCATTTGTGCAAAAGCTTTTACATTTTATGTAATCAACATTGCCTATTCTATCTTCTTTGATCCTCTACGTACCTTACTTTATCAGGAACTGTTCCCCTATTCATATATCATATTTCTTCCTTGTTATTGTGTTTATGATGTTACCCTTTATGTCTAAGTCATGTGGCCATTTGGAGTTTATCTTGGAATATGATCTGAGATGCTAATCTTCACCTAATTTCTGCCACATTACTTTCCACTTTTCCTGGAAGTTTTGGTTGAACAGTGAGTTCCTATCTAAGTAGCTGGGGTCTTTGGGTTTATCAAACATTATACTACTGTGTTTGTTTGCTTCTGCTTGTTGAGTTCCCAGTCTGTTTCACTGCGTGACCTATTTCTTAACCAGTAGCAAATCATTTTGATGACTGCTTTAAATATAGTTTGAGATCTGGTACTGCTAGGCCTCCTCCCTTCCCACTTTATTTCATTATTTCCCTTGAAGTTCTTGACCTTTTGTTCCTCCAGATGAATTCATTATTTTTTCTTTCCAGTTACATAAAGTAATCTTTTAGTAGTTTGGCATGGAACTGAATAAGTAAATTAATTTAGGGAGTATTATCATTTTTATTATATTGGCTCAGCCTACCCATGAGCAATTGACATTTCATTCTGCTTTTATTTGTGTAAAGAATGTTTTATAGTTTTTTGATATAGTTTTTTTGTGTGTCTTGGCAGGTAGACAGTCAAGTATTTTATATTCTCTGTAGTTTTTTAAATTCTATTTTATTTCCAGTTCCAAATTCTCTCCCCTTCCCAGCCCACTGAGAAGACAAGAAAAATAAAACCCATTCCTGTAGTTATTTAAGTAGAATTCTATTGCTTTCTGCTAGGTTTTGTGGGTAATATAAAGAAATGCTGATTTCTTTTTCCTAGTTTGGTCCTAGACTTTCAAGGGTCACCTACACATGTATACATAATCACTTCCTATTATTGCTAATAAAGTGATAAGTTCAGTTGTCTGTACATTGTAGAAGTGAATATACTGATAGTACCTTTGAAAACTGAGCACCCTCAGACAAGGCCCAGGTTGATTCACCCCAGCCATGGCTCTGCTAGCTCTATACAGAAACCACACAGCACAAGGCTACTCCTTCCACATGACAGACCTTCACTCATTCAAAGACAGTGATCTTGTTTCTCTCTGCCCTCTGAACCCTACCCCCACTAAATCCTTGAATGACATACTTTCCAGACTCCTCCCCATGCTAGTCACCCCTAATCTGGACACATTCCAGTTTGTCAGTGTCTCTCCCTCTGAAAATGAGGTGCTCGGATTTGATTTTTCCCATCAAAATTCACAATGGATACCTTGGTTCTTACAAGCAAAGTAGGAGTCAAAGGTCATTTATTAAGAGATAAGATAGGAAGTGTTGGTGGTGGGGCAAGTTCAGGACTTGAGGAGAGTGAAAAGAGGAGTGTAATAGGGATTCTGGAAACTCTGTGTTGTTGTCCAGGAACAGAAATGGAGAAAACAGATTTTTTGGGGTTGATTCAGTCTTGGGAATTAGCAAAGTGAGTCCAACAGAAGGGCAAAAACATGAAGGAGTCTTCCCCAAGGGTTTTTTGGTTTTCAAAGAGTATCACAGGCAGAGAGTGACATTTAAGCTAAAAACCTGAATCACTATTGGTGGAATTAGTGCAGTGGTGGCATGGTGTGCCAGTAGTTTGGGAGGGTTACCTAGGGCTGGAGGGTTCCCAGAACCCCTCAAATCACATTACTGCTTACAGCTTTACCTCTGATGTAAGAGCTCAAGTTTGGGCACCTTCCCAGACCCTCCCTTAACTGTGGAGCACACGCAGGCTTGCAGAGGACTTGGCAAGCTTGAGTATTGCCTCAGCCTAGATGGAGGAGGGAAGGAGCAAGGGGGTATGAAGCATTTTGTAATATTAAGTTAATCATATTAGGTGGTCGGCAACGAAGTAAGGCCTACAGGCCTCTGGTCTTTCACACCAGACCTGTACATTGATGGCAGGGGACAGTTTCAGCTGCGGTCATTCTATGTATGGTTGGTGCCTTTTCAACCTCCTAACAAAGAAATAGAAATGGCACTTAAGAAGAGACTTGATGGAATTGATTCTGGATTCAGAGGTTCAAATCTCAGCTGTCTTTACTTTGTGACTGTGGACATGTCACTTTTTGGGTCTCTGGGCTTCAGTTTCCTCATCTGAAAAATGTAGGGATTAAAATTTTAGGTTTCTAGTCATTAGACCTATAAGGGCAATGGGTGGGGTGTGTGTGTGTGTTGCAAGGTGCATGGGTGGAGAATCAATGGGGAAAAATTAGGGGAAACTTTCCCCAGCAAATCCTCTTTTATAAATTCTGGTTTGGGGCTTGGCAAATTCAGGTTTTGTGTGCCATAAAATAATAATGACTGATCCTTTACATAGCCATTTAAAGTATGCAAAGCAATTTACATACACAACTACATTTAATCCTGGAAGTAATTTTGTAAGGTGAGTGCTACAGCTATGCCCATTTTATAGCTGAGGAAACTGCAGCTCAGAAGTCATGGTCAGATAGGATTCAAACCCGGGTCCATCACTCTCCTAGCATAGCATTCCATCGTACAACACTTAAGAGTAAATATTGACCAGAAACACCACCTCGGTTTCAAAGGTTGTTGGAAGTCTTTCTAGAATTCCCGAATCTCCTTTCTTGGCGTTTGTCTCTGCATCTTTGTTTTTGTCTGCCTCTTGCTTTTGCATATCTAATAGTGACCATAACAGCACTTTACACTCCACGGCTGTGTTCACTCCATAGTGTCCCCCAACACCCTCAATATTGCTATGGTTTAACTTCCTGTCTATCCCAACTCAAAGGCCACTTGCTCCAATCAGCTTCCCTGATTCCTTCTGCTCAACACCATGTGGCAATGAGCTTTCTACTCTATGGCTCTCTAGAAGCACTTTATTCTTACGTCACTTACAGGGTGCTAGTCTTCTTTACGTGTTGGGGGAGGAGGGGTGCTGGGGTTCACATCCTTTTCAGATGTCAGCTCTGGGGTACTTACCCTAAATTTTGTATCTCCCCAGCACTTCTGCTAAGTGTTCTGTATACAACAGGCCCTTAATGAATGGCAGTCATGTTGAATTCAATTTCCATGACTCTGTTTGTTGTTCCTACTATGTGGGCTATTTGTATTGATATTAACTGTATTAGAAATGAAAATGTCTTACCATCATTATGAAACATTTTGTCCTCATCCCCTTAAAGCATCCCAGGATACCCACATGTCCCTCTACCACATTTTGAGAATAATAATAGTAAATAGCTAGGTGGCTCAGTGGATAGAACATGAGGCCTGGAGTCAGGAAGACCTGAGTTCAAATCCAGCCTCAGACACTCCCTAGCTGTGTGACCCTGGGCAAGTCACTTAATCTCTGTTTTCCTTAATCTGCTGGAGAAGGTAATGGCAAACCGCTCCAGTAGCTTTGCCAAGAGAACCCCATATGGGCATCACAGAATGAGACATAACTAAATAATAAGACTACATGCCAGGCACCATATTAAACATTTAGTCCTCACAACAACCCTGGGAGGCAGGTGCTCCTGTTATCCATTTTACAGATAAGGAAACTGAGGCAAATAAATAGTAGTGAAGTGACTTGCCCAGGATTATGTGACTAGTGTCTGAGCTTGGATTTGAACTCAGATCTTCCTCACTCCAGGCCCAGCACTCTTTCTACTAAAGAGAGGACTGTTGCTCTATCAGTTGTTTATTTTATTTCTGTTTTTGCGTGTTATCTGATTGCAGTCTATACACCAACCCTGTCTTACTTTGATCTTCTCGTTTGCCTAAAGCTCCAAGGGGTGAATGAATTCTGCTTAATAAGGTGGTTGATGCTTGCTGCTCAGTGCTACTAAAGAGAACCCAAGCCTTTTGGGCACGGCTTTATCGAAACTGCTTTCTTCCTTTATATCTGCTTCTGTGGTCATCCACTTACAATGTGGCAGAAGGAATACAGGGTTGGACTGGAAGTCAAGGAAACCTGGCTTTGAATCTCACCTCTGCTATTTATAGCTGTGTGACCCCAGACACATCAGTTCACCTCTCTGGGCCAGCTTCCTTGTGTTTTGGTGTGTGGGCACTAATACCTCTATACACTTACCTCCTGGGCTGTCCCAGGACCCAAATGAGATGATGTACGTAACGCATCATTTCAATGTCAGCTGTGGTCATCTCGCTGGCCTGGCTGTTCTAGAGATGGACCTCCAAAGCTTTGCATCTCATAATCTTACCCACCCTTGTCTAGTTTTATCTCTTAAAAAAAAAACACCACCAAGACAACCCTTTCTTTGTGTTTTTAGCTTATTCTTTCCAGTTGCTTTCCCCTTCCTTCTTCATCCTTTTATGTGGTCTCTCTTGGTGTTCCTTCCTCTATCTACATCTTGTCTTCCTTGATCTGACTCTTTTCTGGTTTTCATCCATTTTTACCTTTCAGTTTTTACATATCGTGTTTGAGGGGCAGCTAGGTGATGCAGTGGATAGAGCACCGGCCCTGGAGTCAGGAGGACCTGAATTCAAATTCGGCCTCAGACACATGACACGTACTAGCTGTGTGACTCTGGGCAAGTTACTTAACCCCGATTGCTTTGCCAAAAAACAAAACAAACAAACAAACAAAAAAACCCCCCAACAAAACATGTCGTGTTTGTCCAAACATCTTTCTCCTATCCTAACTATAGTTTGGTCCTTCATAATCTATCAACCTTTTTTCCTGTTTCTGTCCATGTCTCTTCTCCTATTTCTCCCCTTTGCCATGCTGCCCTTGTTTCTGTCCGTTCTCTTCAGATGCCCCTTATCTCTCATCTTCCACCTCTCTCCTCACCTCTGCCTCCCTCGGTCACTGTCTATTTCTGCCTTCTTCTCTGTCGTTTGTTGTTTTTGTCTCCCTCTTTTTGTCTGTCTCTATCCCTCCTTGTCTATGCCCATTTCCCCATTTTGGTCTCTCTGTGACCGTGTCCCTCTTCGTATCTGGGACTGTCTCTATCTCCGTTCCTGTTTCAGGCAATCAGTTTTTCTCTTTCTCTCCCTCTCTTTCCCTCTTTCTGTTGGTCACCCCGATGTAGTATCTCTTTCTCACTTCCTTCCCGTCCGTCTATGTGTATGTCTCTTTTACTCCCTTTGTCTTTCCCCCACTATCTTGCTCCCTCTTTATCTAGCTTTCTGTCCCTTCTGTTCTATCGCGATCGAGGGTGAGGGCTGTCCCTTTCTGTTGGAGCAGAGGAGTGACTGAAATCTGCCTAAATTTCCTATAAGCTAGGAAATCTTCCTGGAGGAAAATGGCCTAGTGAAAGTGAGGTCACTGAAAATATGTACCAAGGATAGCCTCCTACAGAAGCTGAGAGAGCAAGAAATGTTCCTTAACCTTCTTGAGTTCCAAGGGCTCCTCCTCTCCCCTGCTTCTCTACCTGGATCCTCACCCTTCACAAATTGAAGCATGGGTCTGGGGCAGGGGTCACAGGTGGCCCTCTAGGTCCTCAAGTGCGGCTCTCAGACCAAATGCAAGCTCTTCAGTCCGAGGGCCGCACTTGAGGACCTAGAGGGCTGAATCCAAATGCGTTTCCCTGCCCTTGGACTCTGAGTGGCCTCTGAGTGGTCCTACCTTCTTTCATGGCCCAGGTTACAAGAAGAAAGACTGGCTCCAGACTCAGTGTTCCTGTACTTTCTTTAAAGAGGCCAGGGATGGAGGGATGGTGGGTGAAACAGTCAGGGTTAGGGGCCAACAATTATCAGTGCAGCTGAAGACAACAAACCAACACCCCAAAAATCTAAGTGGGGTCCCCGGTGTTCACCCTTCACGTGCATCGAGATCACCTGACTGCTGGCTATTCCCATTGGTTGCAGACAGTAAGAAGGGATCACCGTCCATTGCCATGTTTCTGTAATGGGTGGGCCTGACTCTGGAGTGACCTTCTCCCCAGACTGCTGCTGAAGGGGAAGAGGCCCCGTTTACTCAGGCAGTTTCAACAGGCCTGACCCTTTCTGCATCCATCCATCTGCCTGCCCAGCTTCTAGAAAGGCCCTGCCCACAGCTCCCTAGTTAGACCACTGGGGAAAATAATTGTCTCGTGAAAAGTAATGAATGCTAGTTAATGTTCCCACTTCAACTGTTACTACCAGTACTTAGGTTCTCATCCCAGGAGTATGGGGCTGAGTGTCAGGGGTCCTGCTTCCAGTACTCCTGGACCAAGGAAGCAAACGGAGCCTGGTACATTCTAGGGTCCAGAGAATTAAAAACCACCCTCCTTCCTGACCCCAGCCTCATGGTCCTGGAGCTTCCAGGAGGGCCCAACCTAATCCTGTCACTTGGGAGAGGCATCTTCTCTGTATGGAAGCCTGACACAATCATCACTCCCACATTCCCAGCTGCTTTTGGCCTTCTTCTTTCTGGAGGAGGAGGGTGGGGCCTGGGTCCACAGGCCATTCGACCAGAAGATCGATGACTAACACAATGCTCATGATGGTGATGGTGAACAGCCCAACTCCCCAGAGGACACTGAAGGTGAGGGGGAAGTGATGATGTTGCTGCAGCAGCTGCAGGCTCATCCATCCCAGGGGCAGGAGGCGGAACACCAGCAGGGTGGCCAGCGTGGCCCAGCAGGCCAGGCGGAAGACCAGAGTAGAGGTTTGGCAGGAGAGCAGGAGCAGCGTTCGGATGTGCAGGCAGGCCGAGTTTACCTCCAAAAGCAGAGGTACCACTGAGACACTCAAGCATCGGCCAGGCAGCACAGCCACACCCAGGCAGCTCACCGCCTAGGGGTCAGAGGCCAGGGGTCAGGGACCTTTCCTCCACAACTCTCCCAGTCTCCTTGCCCTGGGCAGGGCCATGCTTTCGGATTCTCAGGCTTCCCTTGAGACCCCAAGCATTTGGTCCCCATCCCTAGTACTTACCAGCCCATCCCCACACTTCATCCAGGTAACTGAGGGACTTTAAATGATTTTGATGGAATGAGGAGGGTCTTCAGAGAAGTCCTCCACATATTCTGAATTGCCTTTCCAACCCCGATCCAGTCCATCCACTCTCACTCGGCCTTTGCCTGTAGCTGTACTTACACCTTTATCCCCAACTGGGGTAACACCTTCCAAATCTCATTGTGGCTACAGGCTGAGCCAGGGCTGGGACTCTGAGGGGCTTCAGGATCCCCACACTGGGTGGGAAAGAAGTTCTGATGGGAGCAAGAGACTCCCAGACTTAAGAAGGGGTTAGAGGACAGAAATCAGATGGGAGGCCTTAACCCATCAATTCTAAGACTTTCTGCACTCCCAAGATCCCATTCCTGTGAACCCTTCCTTGTCCTTGACACTAAAGTTCTTCCACACTAAAACTTGGGGGGGGGGGGGAGAGAGAGAGAGAGAGAGAGAGAGAGAGAGAGAGAGAGAGAGAGAGAGAGAGAGAGAGAAAGAATTTAAGCTTTTGAATCCAGGTGTAGGAATTTTGTACTGATAAGTTCCTAGGAATAATCATGGGACTGCCTCACTGGGCAGTAAGATCCCCATCAACCAGAGGTTTTCAAGCACAGGCTTGCATGATATTGTAATGGAAATTTGTGCTTCATATGGAGGTTGGACCAGATGTCTTCTGAGGTGCCCTTCAGGGCAATTTTTTGAAATAGCTGGAGGTGGGGAGAGGTTATAGCTGGGGCTTGGGCATGCCCAAATGGGGCAACACCTTCCAAATCCCAGTGTGGCCATAGGTTGAGGCAGGGCTCTGACTCAGAGGGGCCTCGGGATGCTCACACGGGGTGGGAGAGGGGCTGTGATTGGAGCAAGAGGCCTAAAGGAGAGGTGGGGGAGGAACCAGAGTCAGCCTTGCCTCAGGCCATCTCCACCCCCTTCCCTGCCAATCCTACCATTGCGTGGTGACAGAGCAGGTGCCACGACCGGCCAAATGTTTGATTCCATAGAATATCCACCCCATCTGCCAAGAAATAACCTGCAGGGTGAAAGGGGGGTAGGTTGCTGAGCTCGGGAGACCCCAGCCTCAGTCCCCATGGGGTGGAGAGAGAGGAGACATGTCCCTGGAGCTCTGCACCCCGCCCCCGCCTGCCCCACTCACCGATGGACAGAGAGACCAGAGAGTCAGTCCTGGGGGGGCAGCTGTGGGTGAAATCCGAGATCAGATGTGAGTGCTGGTACATCCTGGGAGAGGGAGGATGGGCAGATGGTCAGAGCCCGCGCCCCTGCCTGACCCCTCGGCCCTCTCCGGGCCTCTCCCCCCTTTAGGCTGCCGTGTCCCCGCACCAGAGCAGCGCCCCGGCCCCGGCCAGCAGGCTGTGTACGAGGGAGGCACAGATGTTTCTCCACGTCCAGCGGTCTTGGGTGTCGGCGAGACGCGGGGTGGGCAACAGCTTGAGACCCTGGTGCAGCCCCCGGAACGCGGCGAAGGAGGCAGCCACCACCACAAGTCCGGCCGGCGCCATGGAGGGACGCCTGTCCGCCCGTCCGCCCCCCTCCCCCCGCCCCGGCCTCGCCCCGCAGCCGCTGCGGCTTCAGGCTTCTGCTCCAGAGCTTTCCCGGCGCGGCTTCCAAAGCCTCCGAGAACTTTTCTTGGGCTTGGCCACGCCCCCATGCCCCGATCTTCATCCCCATTGGCTTCCCCGCCAGGAGGCTGCCTCCGTAACCACGGCAACCCTCTGGATCCCGCCCTCGCGTGGGGGGGGGCTCCCACGTGCACCCTTTAGATTTCGGGGGCTCCGAACCTCCACTGGAATCCACTCGGAGGTTGGGACTGTGTGCCTAGGACCGAGCTGCTAGGTAAATGGAGATCTGTGTACCCCAAACTCACCGATGGCCGGAGGACCCCGCCCCTGCACCTTTTCCTTGGTTCGCTTCCACACTACCCCCACTCCTGGCTTCAGTCTTTCCCTGGTTTAGCCTAGCGCGTCAGGCCTCTAAGGCAGAGGTGGGGTGAACCCTCCGCCCAAGACACCTGAGCCTCACCACCTCCTCTGCCCTGCCCCTTCTCCCGGACTAACACCCCAGAACCCCGCCCCATTTCAGTCTCTCACCCAATGGCACCATCAGACTGAGTGGGAAGAGGGGAGGGAGGGTCCAGGGTCAACTTCTTAAAGACCCTCACGGCCCCTTGGGGCCTCCCCAGATTATCATGGCGAAATAAAGTCTGGTGTAGGGGATGGAATTCAAATCCTGCCTTAGACACGTGACTAGCATGTGCCGCCTAACCTCAGCCTCAGTTTCCAGATCTGTATAAGGAATTAATAGTACCTACCTCTCAGGGTTATTGTGAGGATTAAATGAAACAAGTCAAGTGTTTTGCAAACCTTAAAGTTCCATCCACTATGATGAGGATGGTTTAGCAGCCCTAGTTCTGAATGCATACACCCCACTTTTTCCTCAGTCCCATACAAACCAAAAGCCTGGGCAGATGTTACTTCCAGTCCACTGGAGTAGACACAGGCTGACCAAGCAGTTACGGTCAGAGGTAAAAATGAAAGACATGAGTATTTGTGGGTCAGGTGGACCACTTATCTCCCTCAGAAAGGGAGGGCAAAAGTCGGAGAAATCTAATCTCCACAGATCGAAATCTTCCCGAATCATAGGAATAGTCCCTTCAGCTAAAGGAGAAAGAGCCTTCTTCCCTCAAACCATAAGTAATAGGAAGAGAGCAGGAGTGCTCAGGGTATGGTTAAGGTACTTTGGCCAGGCCGCTTTATTGGGGGCTGGGCAGTGACTCTGGGAGTCGGTTGCTGCTGGCACCAAGAAAGAAGGAATGCTCCTAACCCTTCTCCCAGCCTTCACCAAGGTTTGACCCTCTCCTTTTCACAAACACCTCTTGCCTCACTGTGCTTTCATGAATTCTTTTCTCCCTCAAGGCCTTTCCTGATGACCATTTTAACTTGATTTCACAAGGATAAACATGCTTTGGAAAAGAATCACACACAATGCTTTTCTCCAACCTCCACTCATGTAGGGACAAGCCCCCATGAGGAGGAATCATAAGGGGGTAGGATGAATCTGTATGGGAGCCAGAGTCCCAGCCCCTAGCCTTGGTCAGGGATGGCTGCTCCTGCTCCTTCCTTACCCAAGTTTGCAGGTTTGCAGCCCCCACGCCCCAGCCTGCCATGTGGCAGGCAACTTCCATATGTATGCCTAGGGCTAGTTTCAACATCCAGACCAGTTTCTAGGGCTGGACACATGTCAGGTTTCACCACCCCCACTCCAGGCAGGAGCCACCCATCTCCTGAGGTGCTATGCAAATCCATTCTTCCTCAGGTATCTCTGTGTTGAGATCGATGGGGAAAGGCTGGTTCTTTGGAACAGGGAAGGTTTTCTCTGATTGGGAGTTGAGAACTTACCAGAATAAGGCTAGTCAAGCCCTGCCCCACCTTTGAAATAAGTGCCCCTCCTCACTTTGGCCACTCCAAATCTAGTCCCATTCACCCAGACCCCTCAGAATCTCAAGCTTTCTGCCCAGTAAAGGGACTAGTGTCTTTAACTCTTCCATCCCCCAAGAGGCAAATAAGTCTCCCTGCCCATCGGTTAATTTTTAAATTTTTGTTCCATGCAGCTGGAGAAAACACCCCAGCTTCCCATTCCACTCCTGAAACCACTGATAAATATAGATTCCTTAGCTATACCATCACAACTTGAAATCTGGGCCACAAAAAGAGTTGGGCAGAGGCTAGAATCAGGCCAGGCCATAGATACCAGGGCTAGAGATTCGTTCTGGGACCAACAGGCCTCCCCTGTCTTCTGCTCAGGGTGGTTCTTCATCTTAGCCATTCTGGTCTTGGGCGGTTCCTAGGACCCCAGCAAGGAGTGCTCTAGACATTTTAAGAGTCATGCTTTTCCTCATTCTGGGAACCCCCCACTCAACCTTGGTAGCAAGGAGTAGCAGTCTAGACATACCAGCTACTTCAGACTCCTGCTGGGGAGTGCGGCCTCTTTCCTGGTTTGGAGGCTAGGTGAAGAAAGCAGAGAACAGAATTCTCCCACACTACCCTCCTCCCAACAACCCTTCCTGGGTGGATAGCAGCAGCCCTGAGCACCTGAACAGTCTGCCCTTCCCCTCCAGCCCCCACTGGCCTCCCTACAGGTTCTAGGTATAGACTATGTAAGACAAGAGAATGGGGTTCAAAATGCACATATACAAACACAATCCTCCTCTAAATTTATACAGAATGCTTTCAACATTTATTTTCCCATTTTCACACTAGCCTTAGTTTTCATTGATTACTTGGCCCCCACCTTCCCACCCCCTTCATAAAGTCAAACAGGGTACCTAGTCCTACAGTGATTATTAGGACTAGAAGCCCAGAGTGACCCTGAATGGGCATAAGAGTCTGATAGGAAGATGTTCATCAAGGGTGGATCTGTCTTTCTCTTTATAAATGAACCTGCTCTGCATTTACACCAGGAGGTCAGCAGGATAAGGAAAACTGCCAGAAACACAAAGGTCAACCAACAAGCGTTTATTAAGCACCTCCAGCGCTAGCGGTATAAAGACGAACAAGAAGCAGTCCCTGCCCTCCGTGAGCTTACATTCTAGAGGACAAGGAGGAGGAGGAAAAACCGGTACAAAAACAAATACAAAGCAATCATGTAATTCCAACAGCAGCAAGTGCTAATAACTGAGGGGGACCGAATGATCATCCATTTAGAACTGGATGGGAAACCTCAGATAGCTGAATGTGAGTCCTTCTTTTCCCAGGCGACGGGTGAAGCTAACTTGCCTAGGATGAAGCAGTGGGTGTGCTGGGTGGGGTATGAACTCAGGTATTTCTGACTTCGAGCCGAATGCTAGAGTCTAGCCATTGACCCTGAGCAAGGCAGGCAGGAGGGGGCACCTGAGTTGGTCACTGAAAGAGGCTAGGGATTGATTTGAGGAGGGAGAATTCCAGACTTCGGGGGCCACCTGTACAAAGGCAGCAGATGGAATGTTATGTACCGGGAACAGGTAGCAGGCCAGTTTTCCTGGAACAGACTGTTCAGGAAGGGAGTCAATACCAAATAAGGTGGAGGTGGAAGGGTCCCACACCCTTAGGGCCTTTCAGTACTTCAAAGGTGGCAGTGCCTTTCATAACCCTAGGCCCTCAGGCCTCCTCCCACTCCCCAGTTTCTTGGGCCCTGCAAGAAGATGCTCCCCCTTCCCAGCTCAAGGTTCTGGGCCCCTCCCCCTACCCCCCAGGCCTTTCACCTTCTAGATGGCAGGGCAGCGGCTCTTCCTCAGTCCTCGAAGACAGGAGCAGAGCTCAGCAGTTCTTCAACTGGCAGCTTTAGCTGGGACAAGACATAAAGCTCGCCACTGAAGAACTGCTGTGGCTCGGCCAGGAGTGTGTGTGGGGGCACAGGATCCTGGGGGGGGGGGAAGTGGAGGGAGGAGGGGGGGAGAAGAGGGAAGAAGCTGGTCAGAGCCATCCTGGGGCACTAATTGCCAGGCAGGGCCATGGTCCAGTTGCCACCATCACACCTTTTCGAGGCCTTTCCCCACCACATCACGTCCCTAGCCCATAGTAAAGTAAATGGCACTACAGGGAAAAAAATCAACAGGCAGCATTTCCCTCAGCAGCACCCCCAGTAACCTGGCCCAAGGCCCACCCATGGTGACTCCCAAGAAGAGGGATACATGCAGGCCCCAACCTCTTCTGCATTCTCTGCTGGTGGTGGGAGAGGGCAATGAAACTGGGTGCCCTGGGGGAGAGCCTGGCAGCTGCCAAGGGCACTAGGTGAGACAGGCTCTTTGGACTCAGCGGTCAGCCCAGGGGCCTCTTTCTGGAAGTCCAGCTGGGTCTGGAAGGAGGTTGGTAGGGGCCTAGAGTAAGGGGAAGGTGTGGGAGGGGGGCAGGGTTCCCGGACCTGGGAAGATAGCAGAGTAGCAACGTTCCGAAAGGGAGGCTGACTCAGGCTAGGGGCCTGAGCAGAGGGCAGCAGGGGGCGGGTGGCTGGGCAGGTTCCCCAGGCCTCTTGGATGCCAGGCATTCCGCTGGCGCATTCCGGGTACATCTGGTATGAATTCCAGGCTGTCTGCCGGCCCCTCCGTGTCTGAACTTTGTTCCAAGTCCCAGGCCCCGCCCCCAGGTTCCAACGCATGAATCAGCAGGAAAAGCTATGGCCCTGCAGCATGGCCCAGGGAGGGGGCTGGGGGTGTGGCTGGGTCTCGGGAGTTGGGGGCCCCCAGGCCCAGGCATGGCCCCTCCCAGGGTGTGGAGGTATCCCTCCAAACCTAAAGTACTCAGTAAAATTCTGCTTCCTCAGGGTAGAAAGGAGGGCAGGTAGCCAGAGGCTGTGGGTAAAATCCAGCACATACATTCTCCAGAGGAGACTTAAGAATGTGCCCTCTGTACCAAGCTCCCAATCGCCCCCTCCCCCCAAGCCTTTCAGCCCACAAGGCTCTGCTGCTGGCAGTCCTGAGCCAGGCAGGTGCCCTTGGCAGAAAGGCAGGACCGGGACCAGGGCACTAACCCTCTGACCAGTTACTCTATCACCCCCCTTGGCACCCTGACAGCTCTGAGGACAGGCCATGGTGGCAGCTGGAGTCAGGGACTGGGTCTTAAGGGTGGGGGAAGATATCAGGGAGGCCACCAGGAGAGGCCAATAGTAGGGGGAGTGGAGGGAGGAGAAAAGAGGAGAGAGGAGGCGGGGAAGGGAGCCCAGTGATGACTAACTCAGACCGCCCCACCCAGCCAGCCGGCTTCTCGGGCGGTCAGGGCCGGGCCTGGGTTGGGGGCCGCTCACTCGGGCGGGGCAGGGGGGGAGGTGCAGAGGTGACCTTCCCAAGGCCCAAGCCGGCCGGGACAGAGAAGGGGCTGAGGGGGAGGGGAGAAAGAGTTTCTAGGAGCCCCCCCCCATTCCCCCCAATGAAACCTTAGCCTGGGAGTTGCATAAGACCCCGCGCTGCCGCCGCCCCTAACTACCCCCCTCTTTACATAAGGTTCCCCCACTCCACCCCCGGAGGGGAGGGGCCGTCCAGTCTAGCGACCCCTCCCCGGACAGGGGACGGACTCGGGACTCCGGCCGAGCCTGCGCTAGGAGGGGAAGGAGACAGAAAGGAGCGACCCGCCTGCCCCATCCCGCCCGGTCCGGTCCGGTCCCGTCCGTGAACTTACCCCGGACCGGACGCCATGCCGGCTCCCCCGGTCCTAGACCCAGGACCCTGGTCTGCTCGGGCCCGCGGCAGGGCCGCCCCGGCTTCCTAGCTCCGTCCAATGGAACTGAATCCCTCCCCCCCCCACCCCACCCCACCCCACTCCCAGCGAAACTGCCCCCTGCTAACCTTCCCCGGACCGGACTTGGGTTGACGCCCCTCTCCCGGGGCGGGCACCCACCCACCTCGCCGCCCCCTCTTCGGCCGGAGTGCAGGGTGTGGCCGCCGAACCCCGTAGCCCGCCCGGATCCCGCTCCCGGCGCGGCCCCCACGGCTCACACCCACCTGGTCCCGGGCGGGGGCGCCGGAGCCCGAGAGCTGGGGGGGAGCTGTATTGGGAGAGAGCGAATCCCACGCGTCCGCTCCCCTCGGCCGGCGCCGCCGTCTCTCCCCAGTGCCCAGCATACACCGGCTCCAGCCTCCGATCAGCTGGCGGCGTCGTGACGCACGACACCCGGTTGCACCGCCCTCAGCCAATCACCACCCACCGATGGCGAACGTGGCCACGCCTCAGGGAGCTCCAACCCCGCCCTTGTCCCCGCCTACCAGGCCATTTCAGCTCTGATTGACACCGAGGTCATCCGCTTCCTTCCGAGCACAGCGGCTTTGAACCATGCCTCCCAACTCGCGAGATGGCCAATAGGTGGAAAGACCCACACCCAGCCCTCAGTTCAGGCTTCTTATTTTGATTAGCGCTCCGCTAAGCCAACCAGCTACTTGGAGACAAAGAGGAAGACAGTGATGGTGGGCGCAGTGCATGTCGGCTAGCGTAGTTCTCACGCTGGCACTACAGTTCCCAGCATCCCGGGCGCTCTGTGAGTTGGCATTTTTAAACTCAACCCGGATCCTAGCCCAGAAAAGTCCTTAAAGGGCCAGCGCCCCTCCCCCAAGGGGGAAAACCTGCTCCCCTTAGATGGGCCCCAAGAGTGGGCTAAGTGGCAGGGGCAGGAGGGGATTCCCACTCAGCCTCCGTGGAGGAGGAGTTGGGGCAGGAGCCCCCCGAGGGAAGGGTGGCCACAACTGAAAAGGAGAGGCCTCGACACGTGGAGGGGGAAGAACTTGTACCCCGAGGCACGGGGGGCAGGGCTTGGCAGTGCTTGACCTCTGGATAAGCACAGCCTACGGAGAGAAGCACTCACCTAAACGTGGTTACCAGCTATTCCTGGGGGAAGGAAGAGGGGAAAGGGAGGCGAAAGAGTAAACCCTGGACAGCCGGCTTATCAGTTTCATGGAAGAGAGGGGTGGGGTCAGGGGGCAGACAGTTATGAGCATGAGTGTTCCAAAGGATCCTCACTTTAAAGTCCCTGAATGGGGAAAGTCTGCCGGGAGGTGTGACGGTGGGCACGGAGAAAAGGGCTCAGTACAGCCCCAACCACCTTCAGCGGTTCTGGCTTCTGCCTTTCTCTATGGACCTTCTCCTTGGCTGAGGGATTCCAGGCCCAACAACAAATGAACCCCAAACCTCCCCTGGGACGGCTTCTGTGGAGATGCTTCAGCTCAGCCCTCAGCTGGGTGGGGGCGGCTTCCTGCCACAAACCTGGGAACTAGCTGAGCTGGAGGGGTGCCTGCTCCCCCTCCCTCCTTCCTCACCCCTCCCTTCAGAAAGAAAAAAAAATCCTTCCCTTGACTCAAGCTAGGAGCTGTTGCAAAGGTGAAGGCCAATAAGGAAGCAGCTTCTTCCCCAGGGACCAATCAGAGCCCAGAGTGGGAAGGATAGGCAAACTTAGCTGAACCCAATGACTTGGCAAAAGCGACTCTGAGTCGATGACTTTACAGGTTATTTAAAGGGACATACCTGGAGGGGGGGAAGGGTAGGAGCTGAATGTGCAGCCAGGGCTTAAAGGCTAATAATGATTTATAGCTGGAAAGGATCTAAGAGCCCATTAGGTTCAACCTTCTTTTACAGAGGAGACTGAGACACAGATGATAGGAACATAGATTTCGAGTTTGAAAGAGACCTTAGATGCCCTTGGTTTCAGCCCCCTCGTTTTCCAGATGAGGAAACTGAGTCTGAGAGGGGTGATGACTCGAACAGGGTCACCTGGCTTAAAGTCAGACTTTCCTTCCCCCTAGGTCCGCTTTCTTTCCTCTTCCAGCGGTGGTTTCTGCCCTCGGCATATTCTTCAGCTCAAATTGGGCTTGGGAGGGAGATAGAGGAAAGACTGTTTCCTTATCTGTCAAACGAGGGGGTTGGACTAGATCTTAGAGATCTTTCCAGCTCTAAGATTCAGTGACTCTCAGGCCGGGCAGAAGCAGCTTGTCCCTTTAAGGAAACTTCCTGCTTTTAGCCCTGGTAACAGCTGATTGCTGGAAAGTGTGTGGCCTCTGGACGAATCAGCTGTTTCCACATCCCTCCCCCAACCTTCAGTATCCCTGCCTCCCCCCTCCAGCACACGTGATGTCCCCTTGGGAAAGGGAGGTGGAGAAGAGCTGGACCGAGAATCACCCACCCCTTTTCCTCTCCTTCTGTGGCCTCCCGGACCTTGGGCTATGTTTCTCTCCAGAGGCGGGAAGGGGGAGGTCTATCTGTCTATCCCTGGGAGCCCCAGAGCTGGAGGATGGAATGAGAAGCATTTCCTGTCAATGCTGTCAGTAGAGAAACGCCCACCCCAGGGAGGGGAGGGAGAAGCTAAAGGGGCCAAGGAAGAGAACTGATTGGGGTGGGGGGGTGTTTGGTATGGAGCAAGAGGAACCTAGATTGACCAGTGCCAAAAGGGCACACGTTTGGGGGGGATAGTGTAGGCTAGGGAAGGAGCCCCAGGACTGTATTCTCTTCCTGGTGACGCTTTGCAGAGGATGGGTAACTTGGAGTCCTTTCTTCCTCTCTAGGCTGGTCTATATGGGGCCTTCCTTGAGATTATTTACCATTTTAATTTATGGCCTTCTCCTCAAGAGCTTCCAGTCCCCGGAAAAGTGCCCTCCACTTTGGTTTTTCCCCTGTAAATGTCCCTAACTTAGCCTAGTACTCTATCAAAGATATGGGTTAATGTCAGTCCTCCCAATGGCCATAGGTATAGTTAGTAGTAGATTCCAAGGTCCCCTCCCCACCCCACCTTCATCTCCAGGAGCTTTGGCTGAAAGGCTCAACAATGGAGCCCAGGTAAATACCCTGTCCTTGGAAGACTGGCTCCACCCAGCCCTTGGCAGGGAGTCAGGGTCATTCTAGGACAAGTCTAGTGTGAATTCCTGGGACCTCAGACTGACTTGGATGTCCCAGGGCAGGAAGGTCGGGGTGATGAAGGACAGGGCTGGAGCATGGCTTGGAGAGAACAAGGGTGTTTTACCAAAGGCCTCCCTTCCAATCTCTCATCATGGAACCCCAAATCCTGGTAAGAGTAACATTGAGCCCAGCCACGGCAGTACTTCTTTCCTGTTCTTCCACGAGCCGGGCAGGCACCTCTCCTAGTTGATCTCCCTCCGACCCTCTTCTCCAGCCAATAAGAACTAATCCCACCCATAATGGGGCTATTGCTAGGGCAGCTGCTCTACTCTCTGACTGGCCAATACATGATCTACATGGAGTCTGGGGGGCGGGAGTGTGACAGCTATTCCCTAACTTTCCCAATCTGGGGTGTTTTGTTTCTTTTCGTTTGGGGGTGGGCTGGGGGAGAATGTCCGGAAGACAGTCTCTTAAGGGGATGGAACAAGAAGACTTTTCAGGTGTGAGACTCTGAGATTTCGGGTCAGTGGGAATTTATGTCCCGGAAGCAGCAAGCTTCTCCGAGATAATACCATATACTTCAAGAATAAGGAATGGGGCTTGGATTGGGGTGAGGGTGGGGGGTAGAGGTGGGTACAATCTGGGCCACCCCCTGCAGTATAAGATAACACCACTAGAGGGCAGTATACCCAAAGATTTGGATAGGGTGGGAGGCCAGGTGCCCAGCCCAGGCCACATGAGTTTGTGCAAAGTTTCCTAAATTGTGAACATAATCGGTGCAGGACAGGCTCTCAGTTACAATCCCTGCAAAGGGGACGCTGTTTGTTGAAGTGAATAGCATGACTTCCTGCCCCTAACTGACTGTCACTTTGGCAAGGGGCTGGCCTTTCTTCCAAGAATTGGAGGAGGTTGAAGTCAGATGTTGCGCTGGCCACGTTGAAGCCCTCCTTGTGGGCACCTCCTTTGGAGACATTCCTTCATCGAATGCAAAAGTGTGTCTTCAGCATATGCCCTTTACCAAATGACCGAGAGTGCCTTCTGTGATTCTGAACTTTGAACCCAGAGCCGTTTTAGCTGACCATGCAATGTCCTGGCGTTTCCTGGCAATGTCATTTCTCCGCTGACCGGTGCAGCTCTAACACTTCCCGCCCCGTCTCTGTTGAAGCATGCTCATTTCACATGTGGAGAAACCGAGGCAGGTCAATGCCCAGTGATTGCCTTTCTTCCTCTGGATCCCGCAGTTAGAGAGGGGTCAGAGGTTCTGACCCCCCCCAGAAGGGAGGGGAGGCAAATGGCTGGGGCTACGTGCTTCTTGCTTCCTTCTCAAGGACCCCCCACCCACACCCCAAGCTGAGGCAGCCCCAGAGCAGTGAAGGCCTTCTCCTCCGACCGGATCGGGAGGGGAAGGGTCTGCAGGCAGGGGCATTGGAAGCTGGGTCACCTTCAGTTCTCGACTTCGAGGCGGAGAAGCCTGACTCTGGTGGGGGGTTCCTTCCCACTGTGCTTCCTACACATGCCCATCCGACCCACAATCTGCAGCAGCTGCGGGGCGAAGGGAATGGACCCGGGGGGCCTGGGTACTAGACCCGACGTGGCTGGATTCGTAAGGGGCTTAGTGACCCTAAGGGGGTGGTGACCGGCCCTGGAAGTCAGGGAGGGGACGACAGGCCAAGACTCTCCGGCCGGCAGCCTGAGGGAGGAAGCCGAGCGGAGGCAGGGTTTGGGGTCGTCGTCTGAGGGGCTCGCTTTCCATCAGGAAGAGAACTCGGGATGGACTGGACAGACCAGGCGCGCGGGCGGGGTGAGGGAGGCCCCGCCCCTTAGAGCGAGGGCGCGAGGACGGACGCCCTGCCCCCTCCCTTCTTGCGGAGCCTAGCCCCACCCCCGGCCCAACTTTGCCCCGCCCTGCCCGGAGCCGGGCCACGTGCGCTTGTTTCCTAGGCCGGGGCGCTCACGTGACCCGAGTCAGCTGACCCGTCATGGCTGGTACCCGCGCTTAATGGGTTCTGCCGCCCCAAGCGTCCAGCTGAGTGGTCCCTGAGCCACGGTGAGAGTGGGCGCGACTTCCTCCTGCCCTGAGTAGGGCTAGCCTTGGGAAAGGGAGGAGGAGAAGGAGGGGGAGGAAGAGAGGGGCAAGGAACTGAAAGGGGAAGAAAGAGGGGCAGGAAGAAGGGAGGAGGGTGGGGCAGGGGAGGGAGGAGAGAGGAGGAGGAGTGGAGCAGGAAGAAGGGAGGGGGAAAGAGTTTAGGAGAAAAGTGGGGAAGGGGTGGACGGAGAGGGGTCAGGAGGAAGAAGGGAGGGGAGAGAGGTAAAGAAGAGAGGAAAGATGGAGAGGAAGGGGGAGAGATAAGGGGAAGGGGAGAAGGGAGGGAGAGAAGCATGAAGGGAAGGGGAAAGGAGGGGGTGGCAGTTCAAAAGAAAGAAGGAGGAAGGAATGGGGGGGAGCTGCTGCAAGAAGTGATAAAGAGGAAGTTCGAGTTTTTCTGTCCAAGCTGAGGCTTTCTCTCTGTTCACTTCTCTAGGATCGTGTTGTCTTCTTCTTCTGACATGGAGGGGCTGCTTCAGAGTGTGGAGAGGGACCTGAGCATTGACTCCCGACAGCTGGCATTGGCTTCTGCAGGTACCTATGTGGTAGCCCTGGTGCCCGTGCGGTGGCTGGCAAGTCTCCGGGAAAGGAAGCTGCCTCCTGGGCCCTGTCCCCGAACTGAGGGGTTGAGTGAAGCTGAAACAAGAACCCTCCTTCAGCGCTCAGTACAGAGACTGCCTGCTGGCTGGGCGCGTGTGGAAATACATGGGCTGCGGAAGCGGAAGCTGACCTATCCCCTGGCTCTGGGCTCCAGCCTACTGTCCGAAGAGCACTCTGGGGTCCCTGAGACCTTGACCAGATTTATGCGGGATACTGCTGCCCAGAACTATCGCAACCTGTGGCATGGTGCCTACCGTGCCCATGGGCGGCCATACGACCATGGCACTGCTCCACCCGACGGTTCTGCCCTCAGTGCTGTGAAGCAGGCCTTGCAGAAAGTTTATGGCTGCCCATTCCTTCCAGTGGGCAAGGGCGCCCAGTGCCCATCTCCTGCGAGGGAGGGCCCTTCAGCTCCTAGGGCTGCGACAGTCTGCCCCAGTCTCTTACGGGCTGAAGCGCTGTTAGAATCCCCAGACTTGTTGTATGTTGTATACCCGCATGTGCAGTACTGTCTTCATGATGTGGTCACTTTCAGTCCAGCCAAGCTCAGTAACAGCCATGCCAAAGTGCTCTTCATCCTTTTCCGTGTGCTACAGGCTATGGATGCCTGTCATCGACAAGGCCTGGCTTGTGGGGCCCTCTCCCTGTGCCATGTTGCCGTGGATGAGAAGCTGTGCAGCCAGCTCCGGCCGGACTTGAGTGCTTATGAAGCCCCTGAGGAAGAGGAGGAAAAGAAGCCTGTGAAGAACATAATGGAGGCTAAGCCTCTAAGTGTCCCTGAGCCCAGGAAGGGAGAAGGGCCCAGGGACCCTATTGGCCAGGAAGGGCTGAGGAGGCTGGTATTAGACTGGGTCCATGGCCGAGTCAGTAACTTCCACTATCTCATGCAGCTGAATTGGCTGGCGGGGCGCCGATGGGGAGACCCCAACTACCACCCTGTGCTGCCCTGGGTGGTCGACTTTACCACCCAGAATGGACGCTTCCGGGATCTGCGAAAGTCCAAATTCCGGCTCAACAAAGGGGACAAACAGCTGGATTTCACGTATGAGATGACCCGGCAGGCGTTCGTGGCTAGTGGTGGTGGTAGTGGTGGAGAACCACCCCATGTGCCACACCACATCTCAGATGTGCTGTCTGACATCACCTATTACGTGTACACAGCACGGCGTACTCCCCGGGCCGTGCTCTGTGGCCACGTGAGGGCCCAGTGGGAACCCCACGAGTACCCGGCCAGCATGGAACGCATGCAGAGCTGGACACCTGATGAATGCATCCCTGAATTCTATACTGATCCCACCATCTTCCGCTCCATCCACCCGGATATGCCAGATCTGGATGTGCCAGCCTGGTGTAGCTCAGGCGAGGAGTTTGTGGAGGCCCATCGGGCGTTGCTGGAAAGCCGAGAAGTGTCCCAGGACCTTCATCACTGGATTGACCTCACCTTTGGCTACAAGTTGCAAGGCAAGGAGGCAGTGAAGGAGAAGAATGTGTGCTTGCACCTTGTGGATAGCCACACCCATCTGACCAGTTATGGTGTGGTACAGCTCTTTGACCAGCCCCATCCCCAGCGCCTGGTAGGACCCCCAGCCCTGGCCCCTGAGCCACCGGTCATCCCCAGGCCTCTCATCCAGATAGTCCGAGAGACTGCTGGTCGAGAAGACATCCCAGGGCAGCTGGCTGATGGGACTGATGGTTTGGTCTTGGAGGCTACACCCTGCGAGGCTGCCTGGGATGGGGACAGACCTCTTGGGGGTGATGATGACTTGGAACAGGGGACAGAGGCCTTGGATTCCATCTCTCTAGCTGGCAAAACTGCTGATCAGCCTTGCCCTTCTTCCTTGCAGGCCTCTGGCCACCCTTTCTCATCAGCCTCAACGGCACGACTGGGCCGAAGAAACAAGGCTGGTGGAGTAGACGTTGGGGAAGGGGACGACGGGAGAATCATCCTTCCTGAGGGCTTTGATCCCCTGCAAGCCCTGGAGGAGCTGGAGAAGTTTGGCAACTTTCTGGCCAGAGGCCTTCGTGGCAGAATGGAGGCACCAGATGGTCCCCTGGCCACACTGGCCCTGAAGCTTGCTGATTTCTTCCAGAGGGACATGCAGGCCCTGGGGGTCCTCGTGGCTGAGATTGTGTTTGCAGCTAGGGTACGGATGCTGCGGCCTGAGGCGCCCTTAAGGGAACGCTTCCTGACTGTCCGTGGGCTCTGTTCCCGCTACCCCAAGGAGATCCCCATCCCCTTGCAGCCTGTTTTGGAGACCCTGCTGCAGCTGAGTGAGCCTTTGGAGCCCCCGATGACTGGGAGGCTCTTTGCGTATAAGCCCATCTCCTGGGGCCTGCCCCCACCCAGTCCCGCTCAGCTCCTTAGCCCGTATAGCTCAGTCGTAACCTTTCCTTCCTACTTCCCGTCACTTTACAAGTTTATTCTCCTGTACCAGACAAGGAGAGTAGAGGACGAGGCCCAGGGGCGCGAGCTGGTGTTTCGGCTGTGGCAGCAGGCGGAGGGGACCCTGCGGGAGATCACTCCTGAAGGCCTGGAAATCCTCCTTCCCTTTGTGCTGTCCTTGATGTCAGAGGCCCACACAGCTGTGTACGCGGCCTGGTACCTGTTTGAGCCCATTGCCAGGGCCCTGGGCCCCAAGAATGCCAACAAATACTTGCTGAAGCCCCTGGTCAGGGCCTACGAGAACCCCTGCCAGCTGCATGGCCGTTTCTATCTGTACACTGACTGCTTTGTGGCCCAGCTGATGGTCCGCCTCGGGCTACAGGCCTTCCTTTCCCACTTGCTGCCACACGTACTTCAGGTCCTAGCTGGGGTGGAGACGTCTCAGGAGGAGACCAAGTGCTTGGGGGGGACCACAGAAGATGAGGAGATTGGGGAAGGGGACGAGAGTCCGGGCCCCTGTACTTTTGGTGAGGCCATCCAAATGGAAGGGGACTCGGGCTCATCGGGACTGGGACTCCTAGACTACACGTCAGGCGTCAGCTTCCACGACCAGGCCGACTTGGCTGAAAGCGAGGACTTCCAGGCGGGGCTGTACGTGGCAGGGTCTCCCCAGCCTCCGGAGCCTGAGGCTCTCAGCCTGGGCCAGCTTAGCGAAAAGAGCAGCCCCAGCGAGGCGTCCCTGGGGGAAGATCGGCCTGGGGATGAGTCAGAGCTCCCACAGGCCAAGAGCAATCAGGACCTGAAGCAGAGTGAGGGGTCAGAAGAGGAGGAGGAGGAGGAGGCAGAGGAAACAGCGGAGGACGAAGAGGAAGTCACTGGTCAAGGCGGGGGAGTCGGAGAGGGGGAGGAAGATGAACAGGACAGTAGCCCGGTAGTGCCTGAGCTCCCCCTCTCAGAGACGGATGTCACTGTGGACACTGGTTTACCAAACGATGACGGAAATGGGGAGGAGGAGGACATCGCTGATGAGTCTGAGGACAAAGAGCAGAAGATTCTCCTGGGTAAGTTCTCTGGCCTGTTTCTGGGAGGTAGAGTCGTGTCTGAATGCTCAGTGCTAGGGTAGGAGAGAAGCACTCAGAGCTTCCGGCCTCAGATGTGGGATCCCAAGAAAAGCTGAGAAGCTTTTCTGTCCCCAGGTGGTGCGGCCTTTGTGAGGGCAGAGCGGCTGAGGCCTGAGGGGACCGAGGTTGGGGCTTCCTGGGGAAGGAGGCCAGGGAGCTTTCTTGGCAGTGTGGTGCCTGGGCGGGGAAGGGCGTAGTGTAGCTCGCACCTTGTCCAGCAGGTTGTTATCTGACAGCCCCAGGCCCCGGCTCCCCCCTACAGATACTGCATGCAAGATGGTCCGCTGGCTTTCAGCCAAGCTCGGCCCCACTGTCACGTCCCGCTATGTGGCCCGGAATCTTCTTCGCTTGCTGACCTCCTGCTATGTTGGTAATGTCTATGGAGAACGAGGGGAGGCGGGGAGATGAAATCCCTTCACGCTGCAGCGGGCACCCCGTCTGCCTCTCCTCACTCCCCCAGCAAGGTCCTTGATCTCCTCCCCTTCCCGCTGACCCTCTAGTTGGGGGTTCTGGTCCCACCCAGGGCTCCTTCCCTCTCCTTTGTTGTGTCCACGGGACAGGTGGCAGGTGCAGGTGCCATACGGCTCCTGTGTTCTCCAGGGTTCTTCGAGGGCTATAATTCTATGATTTCTGCCTGAGTATTGGGGTAGCTCGCTGCTCAGTTTCTCCCCGCACTTCTGAGGGCCGTCATGGTCCATCCTCTCCCACTCCCTAGGTGCCGCACGGCAGCAGTTTATGGGGAGCAGCAGCGACGCGAGCCCCTTGAACTCGGGCAGCATCTACCAGAAGCGTGTGGTGCTGGGGGATGTGGTGTCAGCTCCCGTGCTGGGCTGTCTCATGCACGTGGCCTGCCTTTATGGGGAGCCTGTCCTCACCTACCAGTATCTGCCCTACGTCAGCTACCTGGTCAGTGCCCTGGTCCTGAGCTCTTCCGCACCTCCCCGAGGCCTCATTTAGTTGGGCGAGGCCTGGGGCCATGAGATGCCTCCGGGCAGGTGGGAGGGAAGAGGAACGAAGCCCTTTTTCAGGGCCCACGAGCAGGCAGGGGTCATTGGGGAGCACCTTTCCAAGTAGGGTTCAGGGTGACTTGGCCTCTTTTCTCTTCCTTGGTCCAAGGTGGCTCCTGGAGCTGGGGGAGGTCCCAGCCGCCTGAATAGCCGGAAGGAGGCGGGGCTGCTGGCGGCTGTGACCCTGACACAGAAGATCATCGTGTACCTCTGTGATACCACACTCATGGACATCCTGCCCCGCATCAGCCACGAGGTCCTTCTGCCTGTGCTCAGCTCCCTGACCTCCCTCGTCACAGGGTAGGCCCCTCCCTTTAAGGGGAGGCCCCGGGGAGGGGGAGGAGCAGAGAAGGGTCCCTGAGGAGGGAGGAGCTGGCCACAGGTACATATGGTAATGCGGTGATGCCAGAGAAGAGCTTTGAGCTGGGACCTGGGGCCTCATTCTAGTCCTGGCTTTGCCGCCAACTAGCCATATAACCTTTGGGAGATCGTGCCCCCTCTGTGGGCCTCAGTGTCTTCATCTGTAAAGTGAAGGGATTGGATTAGAGCCTTTTTGTGTCTTGAACCCTTCTGGTGAAGCCTTGGGACCCCTCCTCAGAATGTTTTTGTTTTCTTTTTTTTTTAATTTTTAGGCAATTGGGGTTAAGTGACTTACCCAGGGTCACACAGCTAGTAAGTGTCAAGTGTCTGGTCTGAGGCCGGATTTGAACTCAGGTCCTCCTGACGTGCTCTATCCACTGCACCGCCTACCTGCCCCAGAACATTTTTAAATGCATAAAATAAAGTGCACAGACTTAGAAAGGAAACCAAAGTTTAGTGAAAATAGAGTTGTCATTTTTTTCCCATCCAAGTCCATGGACCTCTGTATCCCCTCCAAGGGGAGCTGGAGAGCCCTTGGACTGGATTACAATTCCGCCTCACCGTCTTTAATGCTGCCCTAGGCCCCCGGGAGGGGCAGGCCTGGGAAGCAGACAAGAGATGGGCTAATCATGTTGCCTTCAGGTTCCCCGGGGGTGCCCAGGCCCGGACCGTCCTGTGTGTGAAGACCATCAGCCTGATCGCCCTGATCTGCCTACGCATCGGGCAGGAGATGGTCCAGCAGCACCTCAGCGAGACGGTGGCCAACTTCTTCCAGGTGTTCTCCCTGGTGCATGAGCTTCAGTGCCAGGTGGGTTTGGATGTGTGGCGGGGTGGCATAGGGGGCATGGGGCTGACCTCATGGAGCCAGTAAAGAGGCGTGAGCCTGGGCTTGTCTTCTTCACATAGGCACTGAGGCCAGAGACTCCAAGCCCAAGTGAGGGCCGTGTGCTGGAGGTGCTCTTCTCAGACGGGCAGCGGCGGGCTGTCGACCTGGCCTTGCTGGATGAGCTGCAGAAGGTGTTTGCTCTCGAGATGGCCTACATGACCTACGTGCCCTTCTCCTGCCTGCTGGGTATGAGCCAGCTGGATTGGCTTCCTGGGTCCTGGGCCTCCTCACCCCATTCCTTTGCTTCTCATCTGCTGAGCTTCATTTTCCTTTCTGTTCCTCCTTGCTTCTGGCCCTGTCTTCCCATAACCTTCTGCTTCCTTGGAAGTCATGCCTAAGATGCTTCCCCCAGGCCTGTGGCCTCTAGGCTCCCCTTTCTCATCTTAGGCCACGCAGCCTTAAGGCATCAGATGATCTAGAGGGTCTTACCCTGCAGAGGGAAAAGAGCAGTGGACTGTGATGTTCCCTGACAAATGATGTGACCTTGGGCAAGTCACTTGCACTCTTGGGGGTTGGGTCTCCCTTTCAGTCTAGTGAGGGGCTGGACTTGGTCATCTTTGCCCCAGAATTCCTGGATTCCCATCCCTTGGGGCAGGCCCATTAGCAGGCTCACGGGGCTCTGCCTCCGTGTCTCCAGTCAGGGGTGCTGACTATTAATTCGAGTCCCTTCCGGGCACAGCCCAGAGTACTGTCAGGGTTGCCCGTGGATCCCTGCCTTGCATGGGCTTTGGGGCCTGAGATGGGCATAGCCTTCCTTCTTTGGAGCCTGAGCAGCTCTTCTCACCCATGTCTAGGTGATGTCATCCAAAAGATTGTCCCCAACCACGTGCTGGTGGGGCAGCTGGCAGGGCAGTATCTGGAGAGTGCCAGCCCAGTGGGCCAGGACCCCATGAACTTGACGCCCATGCCCAGTGCCTCCGCAGAGCAGGATCCTCAAGGCAGGGGGGTAAACCATGATGACAGCAACTCGGGCACTTTTGGGAGCGTCCTGGTTGGGAACCGGATCCAGATTCCTGTAGACCCACAGCCTGAGGGTCCGGGTCCCCTAGGCCCCAGCTCAGGGGCGACTGGCTGTGTCGGGGGCCTCTTGCAGACGGGCGGGGAGGAGGATTCTCTGAAGCGGGATCTGCCTCGATGTGCCCACGGACTGAGTGGAAACTGGTTGGCCTACTGGCAGTATGAGATTGGAGTCAGCCAGCACGATGCCCACTTCCACTTCCACCAAATCAGGCTGCAGAGCTTTCTGGGCCACTCAGGGGCTGTGAAGTGTGTGGCCCCCCTGGGCGGTGAGGACTTCTTCCTGAGCGGGAGCAAAGACAGGACAGTCCGGCTCTGGCCGCTCTACAACTGTGGTGATGGCACCAGTGAGACGGCGCCACGCCTCATCTACACCCACCATCGCAAGAGCATCTTCCACGTCAGCCAGTTGGAGGCATCCCAGCAGGTCGTGAGCTGTGATGGCACCGTCCACGTCTGGGACCCGTTCACAGGTGAGGCCCCCCCCCCCCCGCGCTGCTTTGGGGGGGGCGGCCAGCACTGGCCAGGGGAGAGGGGAAAACATTTTACCTGCGTGCTGCTCCTCCCCCACCCACTGCTAGCCTCTTGTGGTGGGTCTGCAGGTAAGAAGGAGGTGGGCTAGAGAGAGTTGGTTGTTGGGGGTGGGAAGGAAAAGGGAAGGGAGTTAGCCTGGAGGCTTGGTAGTAGGAAGGTGGGGCTAGGTTGTCGTGGGGGTTGGAGACGGATTGGGCTTGGGCCTGAGGAAGGGCAGGTGAGGCAGGATTAGGGGCAGGCTTGGGGCCAGGCCTGAGGGGGCAGGGGACCTATTTAGGGGGAGGACCCTGAGAGCTGCCCATGGGGAGCAACAGAAAGATGGCATGCAGACAGCTCCTGGGCCCTCGGCGCGGGTGACGTCAGAGGGAGGGTGCTCTGGCCATTCCCTCCTGGTCCCCTGAGCCGGTGCTTGCACCCTCCCAGGGAAGACAGTGCGGACGGTGGAGGCTTGGGACAGTCGGGTGCCCTGGACTGCTGTGGCTGTCATGCCTGCCCCACACACCAGCATCACCCTGGCCAGCGCGGATTCCACCCTGCGTTTTGTGGACTGTCGGAAGCCCGGACTGCAGGTGTGTGCTAGGGCACAGGAAACAAATAGGAAACAGTCCCTGTGTTCTGCGCCTAGTTGGGAGATGCGGAGACAGACAGAGGAACCACAGGAAACACTGTGTGCTTCTCACTGGACCTTATCAGGCGCTCTTCGTGAGGAAGACAAGGCCTTGTTAAGTGGACGAGAAGCCTCTGGTGGGACAGGGATGGAAGGGGAAAGGAGGCCCCCAAGGATTCTGTGGGAGCAGTAAATGATAGGACAGAGAGGGCCGTGGGAAGGTGGCTGGGCTGTCCCTCAGCCCTTGTCTCTGGTCCCATAGCATGAGTTCCGTCTTGGGAGTGGCTTGAATACTGGCCTCGTGCGATCGTTGGCCGTTAGCCCCAGTGGCCGAAGTGTTGTAGCGGGCTTCTCCTCGGGCTTCATGGTACTTCTGGACACCAGGACTGGACTTATCCTTCGAGGGTGGCCAGCTCACGAGGGCGACATCCTGCAGATCAAGGTGAGGTCTCCCTTCCTGCCTCCCACAACACGGGTCCAACCAAGACATCTTAGCCTGCAGCTCTGGCTGCTTGACTGGAAGGTGGCTTCCTTCTTACCAACTCCCCTCACCCAGCTCTCTGTCTTGGAGTTCAAGACCCTAAGAGCTGACTGGGGTTTGAGCCAATATCCTGCCTGCATTTTGTGTTGTGCTTCTGGCCCCAGCATCCCAGATGTCTTTGGGCCTTGATAATGGGCACCTCCGTGTGGCAGGGGCTTTGCTGGGGGGAGTGAGAGTGGAGGTGTCACTTCTGCTCCCCTGGGGCCCTGTTCTAATGAGTAATCCTTGTCCATATTTGCCTGGCCCCAAGGGGCAGGGGTCAGTTTCTCCGTCCTTGACCTAATTGAGGTTAAATAAAGCTCAGGGGAGGCCTGTTTACTGCCCCCGCATGGCTGACCAGAGTCCAGGCTCCCTTCTCCTCCCCCTGACTCTCACTTAGTGACAGTGGGGGGTGGGGGTGCTTCAGGCCCATGAGTAAGGACCCTAGCTTCTGTCTTCATGCCCAGCCCCAGAGTGCTGCTGAGGAAGATGAGAGGTGGAGGAGGAAGCTAGCTGCTCGGGTAGTCAGGAATCAGGAAGACCCTTTCTCTGCCTTCCTGATAGGGCTTGCTGAGCTGGGAAAAGGGGCAGTTATCCCATCCTCAGGCCTCTCTGGTAGTCCTAAGGACTGCCAGGAACAGTGATAATGATCCCATCTTAAGATACAGACCCGTCCCCGCATAATGGACTCTGAGGATAATGTTGTGGACATTATGAGTGGCCCAAGGCCCAGCTTGCAGGAGGAAGGGGAACACTGAATTCTGGCTAATTGCTGTCGTCTCCCTCTTCCTTTGGGGCAGGCTGTGGAAGGGAGCACCCTGATCAGCTCATCCTCGGACCACTCCCTGACCATCTGGAAAGAGCTGGAACAGAAGCCCACCCATCACTACAAGTCCCCCTCAGATCCCATTCACACCTTCGACCTCTATGGCAGCGAGGTGGTGACAGGCACTGTGGCCAATAAGATTGGCATCTGCTCCTTGACGGAGCCCCCCTCCCAGGTCACCACCAAACTCAGCTCGGAGAACTTCCGGGGGACACTCACTAGCCTGGCTGTGTTGCCCACCAAGCGTCACCTTTTACTGGGTTCAGACAATGGGGCCATCCGACTTCTGGCATAGGGGAGGGACAGAGCAGACCCAGACTGAGGAATGTGCTCAGGATTGGCAGACGTGGGCCTAGATTTCTCTCTCCCAGTTTGGTGACTTCGCCCATCTGTTTCAACACTTACCCAGCAGGTATGGTGTTTGGGCTTCCAGGGCACATCCCAGTCAGGCTCAGGGCCCCAGAGCTCCGTACCACCTGTGCAACACCAAAGAGAGGAGGCCCAGGACCTCCTGAAGCTTTGCCCTGGGCCTCTTGGTGTAGGGGTGGTCACATCTTGGACTTAAGCCCTCTGGGCCAGTTTTCTACTGGGAATAGAGGAGACGTGGGAGCCCTGGAGAGGCCTTGACCTGTGCCTTGGGTGTCGGCTGGCTGAGGGTGTCACCTCCCTGGCCCCCTCTCCCACCACGAAGCTAAGGTTGGAGGACACAGAGGCCACTCTTTAGCTGGATCTGCCTTGCCCTGATGAGGTTGGTGCCTCTCTGGTCCTGAAGGAGAAAGGTGGTGATGGCCTTAGCAGGTCACGACTGTCAAGTCCTCACCTCCTTCCCTCACCATGAGAAGATCCTGCCACTCTGTGTACCCCAGGACAAAAGGCAGAGCGGGGCCTGAGGGGTGAGGATGGCAGTGTCTTCAGACAGATGGGGGCTTGGGGGGGTTTGTGATGGGCTTCAGCCCGTAGGTGTAGTCCTGTCTGGGGCAGGCTCAGGATGACAATTGTTTTGTCCCAGAGACTCCTTTCTGTCCTTGTCCTATCTGGTTTAGGACCAATATGGGGGAAGAGAGAGGAAATGAGGTAACAGGAGAGTGGAGTCAAGCTTGGCTCACCAGATAGCCAGTGATCCTTCCATTCAACCCCCATCCCCAAAGAGGATAGAGGGGAAATCCCTCCCCTCCCGTCTCACCCTAGCATTTTGTGCCTTGAGCTGGGGTGGCAGCTTCTGGACCCTTGCCCCAGAGGGCCCTCGGCTGTCAGACTGGGGAGAAGGTTCCCTTGGGTCCTAGGAGTATCTCATGGGACAGCACTCCCAGAACCCGGGGTGGGGGGGCAGGGATGCCTCTTGGTCCCAGCCTCCCATTATTTGCAATAGATGTAAATATGACAATAAACACTTTGGAAGAGCCATGAAATGGAGTAAGACTGTTGATGTGGGAGCTGGAGTAGAGTAGGAGGAACAGGTAGGAAACAGGCCCATCTGTATCAGATCAAAATAGGCAGCATTATGAGGAGACCACTTCCCTTAATGAGTTCCAGCCTCCATTAGAAAAGGATGGGTGCCCTTAAGGAACCGGTGTGTGTGGCCCACCCCCCTCAGTTTTAGCTGAAGGACTCCCAGAAAGTGAGTGGAGACCCCAACATCCCTAGCAATCAGGTGGTGGTGGCGTCAGGTGCTGTGGGAGCCATAGAATCCCAGAGCTCCACCCATAAAGGAAGGTGAGCCTTGCCCACCCGCTGGGTAGGATGGAGTCCCTTGGGTTCACCCAGCAAAGTCCCGGGTATATTCTCAGTGTGGAGCCTATAGTAAGCCCCTGAAGCATTACTGACAAGTTAGAAAACCCAGTGGCCAAGTTGAAAGAAATGAGGATGTGGATGTTACTGGATTTTCATAGGAGTGGAGTCTGTCCCCATTAGTGCTAGGAGAAGAGAGAGAAGTCCCTAACTTGTTAACTAATAGGCATTAAGTACAGTACGTGCCCAGCACCGTGGTAAGCTCTGGGGGTGCCCTCTACAAGCTAACATTCTAATGGAGGAGACAGGGCTTGAATAGGTACACACGAGAGCTGGAGCAAATGAAAGTTCCCTGAGGGAGAAAGGCCTGCTGCCCCTGTCTGTGGGGGCCTGGGCCTAGCCTTGGGCCCACCAAGCAGTCCCAGGCCTGGGATCCCCCCAACCAATGGCAGTGGGTCAAAATGGACATGTCACCCAGGCTGGCTGGTGGAACTGGAGATAAGGAAGCCACCAGCCTTGGGTTCTTTGGAGAAAAGTGACCGCACGGGCTCCAGACAGGCAACAGGCGCCTGGACATTTGGGTTCTGGCCCATTGGGGTGACAGGGTTATGCCCCATCCCCACTGGGTCTAGGGCAGAGTTTCAGACCGTAAGTCCAGCCCCTTCCTTCTGCAGAGGTGGTGCTGAGCTTGGGACCTGCCCAAGGTCACACCGCTGGCTTCACTAGGTGGCAGAATCCAGACCTCTCCAGAGGGCGGTCAGGCTGCTCCTCCTTGTGGTAGACCATGCTGTATTTCACAGTGCTCCTTGGGTCAAGACTGGACTGCCCAGTCTCTGCCCCAGCTCCACTGGCCAGGCCTCTGCACTGGTTCTGATCTGTTCCCTCGATGGCGAGGGGACACCCTTATGGACGTGGGCCTCTTTGTGGATTAGGACCCGGTGATCCTAAAAACTGTCTTGTCAGGTCCCCATTTGGGCCCCCAGGCTGGGGGATGGGGGTGGGGAGGAGGAGACCAGAAAACTAAACAGGAAAGGGGGCCTGACCTCTATACAAATGTTTAAATGGATGTGTCGGTCAATATTTGCTGAAAGGGAGAGAAATCTGGAAAAAGAGTGAGATCAAAGGTCAGGGTGGGAGGGCTGGGCAGGGCAGGAGTTGGGGCCAGAGCCCAGGACAGTGTCAAAGCGGACACGTCGTACACAACATCCAGGAGCCTGACAAGGTAAGTGGGTAGGCCTGGAGATTGTGGGGGGGTTGGGCTGCAAATCCCCCAGGGACCTAGTGTATAGCCTGGGTTAGAGAGCTGGATTCTGGGGCCAGGGAAGCTTGAACTGATGGAGTTAAACCCTGAATGATGCTATATCTGAGGCTGGAAGGGGCCTGCAAAGCCATCCAGTCCCATCTCTTTCAGATGAGAAAACGGGTCTGGGGAGGTAGTGACCTGGCCAGGCTAACACCAAGCATAAATGTGAGGCACAGAATTTGAACTCGTCTCATCTGACTCCAAGCCTGGTGCTCTTTCCAACTGGGTCATGGGAGGAGCTCCCCACTGGACCCTGCTCCCCTAATGGGGTGGTGGGACCCTTGACCCCACATAAGGCTGGTCCATGTGTGTGTCCCTCAGGGAAGAGAGGCTGAGAGCCTGAGGTTGTCCATCATCTCAAGGGCCTAACTTTCCTGTGGGAGGCCAGTGGTCTGCAGAGTGCTACACCAGAGCAGCTTAGGTGGGCCCCATTGCCTCTGCTTTTCCTTCTTATCTGGGGGTGAGGGGGGGCACATGGGGCAGGGAGGGATCTATGTTGAGAGCAGAAGAGACTGGAGCAGGCCTGAGAGAGCAGGCCTGGGGCGGGGACAGACAATGGGAATGCTGGAGTGGAGTCCTCCTTATCTAGGCCTTTCACAACCTCAAGGATCTCTGGGCCTTCAGCCAGGGTTACTAGCAAGGGGGAAGGAGGGCCCTGTGGGTTCTGGGAAGTGGGCAGGAGTTTCTCTCTACTGCCCCCTCCTTTACGTAGGGTTTCCACCAAAGGGGTGTAGGAAATGGCCCTGGTCTAAGCCAGTTCTGGTGACTGCCCGCCCCAACCAGGCTAGGAAAAAGGCCCCATGCCATGTGGGAACGAATGGTACCCAAGTATCCTCTAGCATGCTCATTTCCCTCCAACTGTTCCCACTGACCAGTCAACGATTGTGTAAAGGTTATAGGAATGTAGCTTTGGAGCTGGAAGGCCTCAGGCCAATCTTCTCATTTGGCAGCTGGGTGAGGGAGGACAGTGCCTATGCGAGTTAGGAAGACCAATCTTGCCCTGGGCACATCAGAGATGTGTGACCCGAGGCAAATCATTTGATTTTTCTTGGCCTCTGGTTCCTCATCTGTAAAATGGGGATAATAGTAACTCGTGTTTTTGTGAGAATCAAATGCGATAGACTATGTAAAGTGCATTGTAAAGTGTAAAGCACCGTATCACTGCTAGCTGACAGGTAAGAGCATATGTCAAATGCTGAATGATGATCCGGGTTCAGAGGTCACTGTGGTCCTCAGGCTTCTTGAAGGAGATGGGATTTGAGTTGGGCTTGGAAGGATGGGATAAAGATCTGCCCTGGGGAGATGGAAGGGGAGTGTGAAAGCATGGGCTGCCCTGAGATAAGGATGGATAACAAATTCTCTCCCCTGTTCCAGGACCATGGCACCACCGATCTGGGCCCTCCTGCTGCTTGGCCTGTCTGTCCTGCCTAGATCCTGTTTATCAGTAAGGAGGGCTGGCTGGCAAGGCCCCTTTGGGAAGTGGGGAAATAGGGATGGGGTGGGGAAAGACAAAGAGACAGAGAGAGAGTGAGCGCTTTGGAAGGGGTTCTGAGGTTGTGAGAGGGTTGGGAGGTAGAGGATACTGCTCACTGTGCCTTGCCTACTGCTTTCCCTGTTAACCGAGAGACAGGCTTTATCATAGGGGAATGGGATAGGATGCTGGACGCATCTGCCCCAGGCTGGGACTCCTGACCTAGGTGGAGAGGAAGGTTGGGGAAGGGACAAGCCCTCTTGTAGGCTCCAGATCAAGAAGGGTGGCGGTTGGGCTTTCTGAAAGGAGGCAGCGTCTCAATGTGCTTCCTGTTTCAGGAGCCAGTCCGTGATGACTTTATGGAGGGGCAGAAACAGGAGAAAGTCCCCCTGCTTCTCCTCCTCAAGTCAGGCAACCAGGTAACGGGGAGCCCAGTGGGGAGAAGAATGGAACAGAGACAACAAGGGGCCAGCCCTTGGGTCAGGGCCCCAAAGTGATCCACCAGTAATGGGAGCTCGAGTTTCGGGGTAGAAGTGGGGGTCTGCTGTATTCCACAACCACAGGCAAGCACGTGGTCAGAGCAGCACCAGAAGAGTCTTCTCCCCTGCCCCCCAGTACCTGCCCCAGTTACTGTGCTGGGGACAAAACAAACAAACAAGTGTCTGCCCTCAGGGAGTTTCCGTTCTACTTCAGGATTCACATTCACAGATAAAGTAATTACAAGATCTTCACAAACTAAAGTGATTCTTCAGTGATTTTAGGGGGTCCGGGGTAGGGGTCTAACAACTGAGTTGGACATGGTTTCTTGAGGAAGGGGGCACTTGGGCTGCTTTCAAGTGAACTAGGACTTGGGAGAGGCAGAATTGAGGAGGGAGAGTACTCTGGGTCTGGGAGAATGGTCAGCCCGTGCAAAGGCATGTAGGCTGGAGATTACGGCAGATGAACCACCCTATAGGGGCAAGAGCAGATAGGACAGTGGGGCTGGATGCCAAGTTAGTGAGGGGGACTGATGTATAATCAGCCTACATCTGGCTGAGCCAGAATGGGAAACATTTAAAACTCTGAAATGAGATTGGGGGAAAGATAATTGGTTCCCTTTGGGACATGTTGATTTTGAAATGCCTGTAGGGCATCCAGGTGGAAATGTCCAGCAGGCAGTTGGAAATGTGACTTTGATAGTTATTGGCATAGAGGTGATAATTAAACGAGAGAGAGAGAGAGAGAGAGAGAGAGAGAGAGAGAGAGAGAGAGACAGACAGACAGACAGAAGTGAAATAGGAGAAGAGAGAGAATGAGATAGAAAAGAGACAGAGATAGGAGAGGCAGAAAGAGAAAAGAGAAAGAAGAGAGGTAAGAGAGAAAGACAGAGACAGAGATAGAAAAGGGAGAATGACATAGAAAAGAGACAGAAATAGGAGAGACAGAGCAGAGACAGAGACAGAGACAAAGAGACAGAGAGAGATGGAAAAGATAAGAGGAGCCCTGGACAGAGCCCTGGGATATAACTCAGATATAAGGGAAGGAACCCGATAGCAAGGTTCCTTCCCTTATATCTGAGTTATATCCCAGGGCTCTGTCCAGGGCTCCTCTTCTCTTTTGGCATCTTTGGCATGGGCATTATTTCTCGGTTTCCTTTTCTATCCCACACTTATTGGAGATCAGGTTCCTAATGGGGGGAATGGGGAAGGGGACAACAGCTCTAAAGAGAGAGAGGAATTAGCATTCAAGGAGGGATGGAGCAGGGAGGGGAATCAGGACTGCTCAGGAAACGTCTCAGTTTCACAGGGCCCCACCACCAAAGGACTGCCCGGAGTGGCCCCCAAGCACTCTTTGCTTCCTCCTCATCCTTGGCTGTAATCCTGGCTCCACCACTTAGTCCACACATTGCGACTTTGGGCAAGTGCTTTTTCCTTTCGAGGCCTCAGTTTCTTCATATGTAGTCTCTGAAGTCCCTTCCAGCTCTAGATCTAAGGTCCTGTGACTTGTATTCAAATCTTGCCAATGACACGTATTACCTGTGTGACCATAGGCAAGTTACTCCCTCACCCTCAGCCTCAGTTTCCTCATCTGTACCATGAGGAGGTCAGACTAGATGGCTTCTCAGCTTCCTTCCAGCTCTTAATCTGTGATCCTAAAAGGGTGCTACGGTTCTGTTTGCCAGAGGGGTGAGGGACTGCATGCTGGGGCACCCAGCCTAGAGAGAGTAGGCATGAGAGAGGAGCGGGGAGATCCATCAGGAAGGTCAGCGAACAGGACTGAGAGCCAATGGCCAAGGTCCAGAGAGAAGGGGAAATAAAATGGCATTCAGGAAGGGGTGATACTAAGGACTGGTGAGGTCGTTTGACGCACCCTTGTGGGTCAGTCTGATAGCTAAGTGGAGGATGGACTGGAGTGGGGAGAAGCATGAGTCAGGGGGATCAACCAGAAGGCTTTTACGATAGCAATGACAGCCTGTGTCGTGGTGGCGGCAGCATCAGGGGATATATGTGCTGGATACTGCGGGTGGAGGCTGACAAGGCTTGGCAACAGATTGGATATGGGAGAATGAGAGAGCTTGAGGAGGTGAGGATGACACTTAGGTTGCCAGCCTGAGTGATGAGGAGGAAGATGGCGCCCTCAACAATTGTAGGCAAATCAGGGACAGAGGAGGGTTTAGGAAGAGAGCAAATGAGTTCAGTTTTGGACATGGCGAGTTGAAGACATCGACAGGGCATCCAATTTAAGATATCCAAGAGGCAGGCGGAGATGCAAGACTGGAGGTCAGGAGAGAGGGTAGGGCTGGACAAGTAGATTTGAGAATCCCAGCAAAAGGATGAAGAGTGAATCCATGGGAGTAGATGAGATCACCAAGTGAAATACAGAAGGAGAGGCGAAGAGGGTCACCCACAGTTAGCAGGTATGACTTGGATGAAGATCCAGCCGAAGAGACTGAGAAGGAATGGTCAGAGAGGTAGGAGGAGACCAGAGGGAGAGAGTGTGTCCTGGAGAAGAGAGTGTGAAGGGCTGCAGAGAGGCCAAGAAGGGGAAGGACTGGGAAAAGGCTGGGAGATTTGGCGATCAAGAGGTCCTTGGTAGCGAGTGGCCTCTCATCTCCAGATCTCTGCTCTGTATTAAGAAAGGTGACATTTTCCTTGACTTTCTCCCTCGCCCCCTCAAACCACACGTGGTTATTTGGTTACTGATACTCTTATGTGCTTGTGAGGTTTTCTGGGATCCCCAATGGGTTCAGCATCCTGGCTCTACACTGGAAAAGACCTTGGAGGTCATCTGATCCACTCTCCCTCCTTTTACAGAGGAGGGTGACCTGTCCTTGACTTTCTCCCTCGCCCCCTCAAACCACACGTGGTTATTTGGTTACTGATACTCTTATGTGCTTGTGAGGTTTTCTGGGATCCCCAATGGGTTCAGCATCCTGGCTCTACACTGGAAAAGACCTTGGAGGTCATCTGATCCACTCTCCCTCCTTTTACAGAGGAGGGTGACCTGCCTAAGGTCACACTGGTAGTAAGTGGCCAATCCTTAGGCCCATGTTCTCTCCTTAGCACAGTGCATGTGAAGTCAAGAGGAAATAGGGCCGTGGCTCACTTTCTCATTCTTCCTGACTCTCCTTTCTCTCCTCTAGGATTCAGACAGGACACCAGTGGGTCCCACGGGGCCACCAGCAAACTCTGGGGCTTTGAACTTTCCCACGGACACCCAGGAGCACCCCAGTAAAGCAGATTCCTTCATCTCTGGGGCTCCCACATACGATCCCCTCTCGAAGGTGTACAGTTGCCTGATACCCTTAGAGGAGGCCTGGCAGAGAGCGGAGGCTGGCTGCAAGGAGACCCCCTCAGCAGAGCAGACCCACAAGCTGGCCGAGGCCATGATGGAGTTTACTTTAGACCTGTTCGCCAAAGTCCTGCAGACATCCACGAGTCCCAATGTGGTCCTGTCACCCCTCAGTGTTGCTTTAGCACTGTATCATCTCGAACTAGGTAACTGGGCCGAACCCCTGCTTCAGAGGGGGCAGAACCCTAAAATGGGAGAGCCGGGAGTAGGTACCACAGGGATCAGTTGGTCCAGTTCGCTCTTGCTACAGAGGAGGAAACTTGAGGGTTAGGGAGTGAGTTGTCCAAGGCCACATAGTGAATCAGTGATGGAGCCAGGAGCGGGACCCTCCGCCCGGTCTAGTCGGAATGAGTAGGAAATCCCTGAATTTCCCAGCTGCCTCAGATGCTGGCTACATATGCAGTGTGGCCCCTCCTGGGAGGTCTAGGGGAGGGGTTACTCTCAGGGTTTCCTATCAGAAAGGGGGTGGGGACAGACATTTATTGAGTGCCTGCTGCGTACTCAGTGCTGTGCTGGTGGGCTGGGGACAGAACCACCCTCTCTGTTAAATTAATGATGCACTTACTGAGTGCCTGCTGCGTACTCAGTGCTGTGCTGGTGGGCTGGGGACAGAACCACCCTCTCTGTTAAATTAATGATGCACTTACTGAGTGCCTGCTGCGTACTCAGTGCTGTGCTGGTGGGCTGGGGACAGAACCACCCTCTCTGTTAAATTAATGATGCACTTACTGAGTGCCTGCTGCGTACTCAGTGCTGTGCTGGTGGGCTGGGGACAGAACCACCCTCTCTGTTAAATTAATGATGCACTTACTGAGTGCCTGCTGCGTACTCAGTGCTGTGCTGGTGGGCTGGGGACAGAACCACCCTCTCTGTTAAATTAATGATGCACTTACTGAGTGCCTGCTGCGTACTCAGTGCTGTGCTGGTGGGCTGGGGACAGAACCACCCTCTCTGTTAAATTAATGATGCACTTACTGAGTGCCTGCTGCGTACTCAGTGCTGTGCTGGTGGGCTGGGGACGGAACCACCCTCTCTGTTAAATTAATGATGCACTTACTGAGTGCCTGCTGCATACTCAGTGCTATGCTGGGTGCTGTGAGGATACAAGTGGGAGACAGCACCCCTGCTTTCACGGTGGTTATGGTCTCATGGAGGAGACTCACACAGAAATAATTAGAGGACCATAGTGGGCAGCCAATGCCCAAGCACCACGATGCTGGGGACACGGCTGGGCTTCAAAGGAGGGGCAGATTAAGGGAAGGAAGGGAGGACATTCCAGGCAGGGCGAAAGAATAGGAGCAAAGGTGTGGAGGTGAGAATCGAGAGGGGGATGACTACAAGTTCCTTGCCCTCCCTTTCGAGGGGGGCAGTGTCTGGTGCGGTGGTTCGTCTGCTTGCAAAGGTGGGATGTGGGTGGGGGGGTGCCAGCCTGGTGATACCCCCAATGGGACCACAGCCGGCGTGTTCTCCAGGAGCCAAGACTAAGACGGCCCAGCAACTGCAAAAGGCCCTGCGTGTGGAATCTGCGTCCTGCCTGCACCATACGTTGAATGGCGTCCGCCAGGAGCTGGGCCGCACAGCCCTACGCATGGCTGCCAGGATGTACCTGGAAAAAGGTGCGTGTGCTCAATGCCGCTTATTCCTGGCTGTCTCCCTGTTTGAAGGAGGGAAAACTCTTCACTCATAACTACCCAATGAGCCAGAGAGAATGTGTGGAGAATTTGTTTGTTTTACAGAAGAGTTTAGCAACTCACCCACAGGCTCACAGCCAGGAAGGGGATGCTCACACCCCAGTATTTATACTTGGAGTCCAGGGCTCTGTGCCCAAGCCCATGCTAGTAAGTGGAAGAACTGAGGTTTCCCTGATTCCAAATCCAACGCTAACCTCTGAATGCGGCTTTCTCTGGCTTCTTTCCGCAGGCCTCCCAGTCAAACAGGAATTCCTGGAGCAGTCAGAGAAATTTTTTGGTGCGAAGCCCGCCATCTTAAAAGGGAACGAGAAGGATGACCTTCAGGTCATCAACCAATGGGTGAAGGAGGCCACGCAGGGGAAGATTGAGAACTTCCTGTCAGAGCTCCCAGCAAACACGGTGATGCTACTCCTTAATGCCGTGTATTTTCAGGGTAGGAGCCAGCACATGCCAAGATTGCCCGCTATTATGCCCCTTCCCTTTCCTTCCCCCTCCCTCATTCATGCAGCCCTGAGAGCCACCAGAAGGCTGAGCCTGCAAGGGAAGATCCCTGCCAAGCATGATCTTGGTGGTGTCAGCCATGTGGTGGGGTCAGACGACCTGGGAAGAGGAGGGATGGGAGGCGGAGGCCCCCAGAGAACATGATCGGGGAAGGACACAGCACCCTGAGCGTGTGGTAGGAGATGGGAGACGCCAGCTTCTGGAGAGAGATAGGCTGTGGATAAGATATTCATCTATCCATAAAAAACGGCCAGTTGGCCATAGCCAGCATCTCCAGGCTACCTACCACAGTCACAGCTCTGTCTCCTGCCTGGCTGATCCCTTTTAGTTAGTCTGGGCTGGTGGTGCTGGGGAAGAAACAATAGATGCGCAGATTGTTAGAGCTGAATGGACACTCAGCCATCAGAGAATCAAGAATCAGAAACTATGAGTGTTCCCCAAGGCTCTGTCCTAGGCCTCCCAGGCTTCTCTTGGTGACCTCATCAGTTCCCATGGTTTCAATTATCATCTCAAGGCAGATGACTCATAGATCTAAGTATCCATCCTAAGTCTCTCCCCTAAGAGGCTCCTTCAGGCCCAAATCACCAATTGCCTCCTGGACATTTCAAGCTGAATGTCGTATCAACATCTCAACATCGACCCACCGAAAACAGAACTCATTATCTCTTTCTCTAAACCCTCCCCAATTCCAAATTCCCTGCATTTGGAGAGGGCACCACCATCCTTCCAGTGTCCCAGCTTTGTAAGCTTGGCATTTTTTTTGAGGCAATTGGGGTTAAGTGATTAGCCCAGGGTCACACAGCAAGTGTCTGAGGCTGGATTTGAACTCAGGCCCTTCTGACTCCATGCCCGGCGCTCTATCCACTTCTGTCACATAGCTGCCCCAGCCTCAGCTTTTTACTAAACTCTTCCACTCTTCTCATAGCCCATCAGGTGCCGAATCTTTCTATTTCTAGCTCCTTCTATTGACTCTCACATGTTCTCTCTACTCATACAGCTGCCACTTTAGTGAAGGCCCGTGTCTCCTCTTGTCTGAAGTGATGCAGTGGCCTCCTAACTGGCTTCCCTGCCTCCATTCTCTCCATATTCCAGTTCAGCCTCAACACTGCTGATGAGATAATTTTCCTTAAGTGTGTATCTGACCACTTCGCTCCCCTGCTCAACTCCAGGGGCTGTAGCAGGAAACAGAAATTCCTGATTAGCATTTAGGTTGCCTCACAACCTGGCCCCCATCCAACGTTCCAGCTTCATTGGACGTTATTCTTCCACGCACCCTCTTTTTTCTCTTTACACATACACGCATATGCATACACATGCACGTACATACACAGTACACGTATACATACACACATACACACATATGCATACACATGCACGTACATACACAATACACGTATACATACACACATATACATACACATGCACGTACATACACAATACACGTATACATACACACATCTACATACACATGCACGTACATACACAATACACATATACATACACACATACACACATATGCATACACATGCACATACATACACAATACACGTATACATACACACATACACACATGCATACACATGCACGTACATACACAATACACGTATACATACACACATACACACATGCATACACATGCACGTACATACACAATACACATATACATACACACATACACACATATGCATACACATGCACGTACATACACAATACACGTATACATACACACATATACATACACATGCACGTACATACACAATACACATATACATACACACATACACACATATGCATACACATGCACGTACATACACAATACACGTATACATACACACATCTACATACACATGCACATACATACACAATACACATATACATACACACATACACACGTATGCATACACATGCACGTACATACACAATACGCATATACATACACACATATACATACACATGCACGTACATACACAATACACACATACACACATACACACATCTACATACACATGCATGTACATACACACATGCACATATACATACACACACATGCATATACATGTAAATATACATATACGTTTCTTTCTTGTCTGCCCTGTGACACCTAAGCTTTTGGGAGTAGGGATTGTTTTGTTTTTGTAACCCCAGTACCCAGCACAGTGGCTGACACATAGGAAATGCTTAATAACTACCACTTGATTTAGCGATTAACTGAACCAGCATTGAAGTGTTACCTTACTAATTAACCAGGATTAGTTCATTAATTTGCCTTAATCAGGCGATTAGTGCCATGACCGTGTGGGTAGAAAACTAGCTGAGGATTCAGTAAGACCTGGTTTGGTCTCACCTCTGGCCTCTGAGGTATACTGATGACGTGCCTCTGGGCCAATCTTTTGGCCTCTCAGAGTGCCAGGTGGCTCCCCAGCTCCAAGGGCTGTCCAGCAGTTAAGAGGTTGTTTTCTCACTGGGAGGTCCCTAGATCCTGGGTGTCTGACTCAAATAGAGACGGATCTTTGGGATGCATGTTGACTGCTGCTGTTTTCTTTGTCAGTGGTGTCCGACTCTTCGTGACCCCATTGGGGGTTTTGGCAAAGATACTGGAGTGCTTTGCCATTTCCTTCTCCAACTCATTTGACAGATGAAGAAACTGGGGCAAATAGGGTGAAGTGACTTGCCCAGGGTTACATAACTAGTGTCTGAGGCTGGATTTGAACTCAGGTCTTCCTGACTCCAGCGGCCACCTAGCTGCCCCATATGTTGACCTAGAAAACCATAAATTAACATTGTCTATGTTGTATCTTATTTTGATTTATTTTGTTACACAGTTCCCAATTACATTTGAATCTGGTTGGGGCTTCCCTCAGGAGTTTGACACCTCTGCCCTAGAATAAGGAAATCACAGATCCAGTCTAAATTTTTTTAAAAATGTGCCAGGTACTGTACTAGGCACTAGAGATCCTCAAACAAAAATGAAACCTGTTCCTTCCCTCAAGGACTTGCATCTTATTGGGAGAAATAATATTATACACATAGAAGATGGCTCATGTATAAAATACAAATAAAAAGTGATTACGGGGGGGGGCGCGGTTAGCAGCTGGCAAGGTGGAGTGGGGAGTAGGAAAGACTTCTCACAGCTGATGGCAGCTGAGCTCAGCTTTGAAGGGGGTGAAGGATTCTGAGAGTCAGGAGCAGGAAGTGACTTCCAGGCCCAGGGGATGCATAGGCTATGCAAAGCCCAAGAGGTGGGAGATGTGTAAGGCACAGCAAGCCAGCAAGCTAGTTTGCCTGGATTGTAGAGTAATGCACACTCCAAGTCTGATCTGGAAAGGCCAGGTTGTGAAGAGCTTTGCATGTCAGACATTCACCCTAGAGGAATAGGAGTGATATGGTCAGACTTGGGCTTTGGGAATATGGCTTTGGCAGCTGTTCAGAGGATGGCCTGGAGGCAGGGAGACCATTTAGGAAGCTCCTTGAATAATCCAGGAAGAGAAGAAATGAGGGGCTGCGTTGGGGGGTGGGGTAGTTGCAAGGTCCTCAAGTGTGGCCTTTTGACTGAATCCATTTGAATTCAGGACCTAGAGGGCCACATATGGCCTCAAAGCCGCAGGCTGCCCATCCCTGCAAGTGTGGGTGGAGATGGAGGGGATGGAAAGAATGCAGGAGATGCTGTAGGGGTGGGCTCTAGATTTGGCAAGGGGATGGCTATGGGGAAGTGATGGAGAGTGAGGATCATTGAGTTAGAAGCTGTGGAAATTTGAGGTCTTTTTGTCTAATCCCTCTCATTTTACAGAGAAGGAAACTAAGGCCCAGAAAGGGCAAATGATTTTGCCCTTTCCCGCAGGGAGTTAGAGGCAGACCTTGGGACTTGACCCTGGTCTCCTGACTCCCAACCTCTGTGCTCTTTGCACAGAGACCAGCCAGTCTTGGTAGCTCCTCCATTCTGCTTGACTGCAGGATTCTGGAAGACCAAGTTTGATCCCAGCCTGACCAAGACTGATGTTTTTCATCTGGATGAGAAGTACGTAGTCCCCGTGGTAATGATGAAGGCCAAGAAATACCCTCTGCGCTGGTTCTTGCTGGAACAGGCAGATGTGCTGGTGAGTGGCACAGGGAAGAGGGGAAGGTGAGAGCCTCAGACTGGCTTAGCCCAAGTCCTCTTTCTTGAGATGCCAGGGACTCTGGAGCCTGGACACTGAAGGATGGCAAAAGACATTCAGGGCTCTGGAGAGGATGGAGTGAGTGTGGGCTCTGCTAGGTCTGTTCCAGGATGAGCGGTAAGTGCTTAGTTTTATTTAAAGGAGTTAATTTGTTAAATTAACAAAAGTATTTTTTCTTCTTTCCACATTCCATCCATTGAAAAAGAAAAGAAAAGAAAAAGAAAACCCTTGCAACAAATATGTGTAGTCAAGCAAAACAGATTCCCCACATTAGTCATTTTCAAAAACGTCTGTCTCATTACGCACCTTGAGTCTGTTACCTCTCCAGCAGGCAGTTGTCGAGAATCTTGGCTGGTCAGTGCCTTGACCAGAGTTCTTAAGTCTTTCAAAGTTGTTTATCTTTGCAAGGTTGTTTTCTGCATAAATTGTTCTCTTCGTTCTGCTCACTTCACTCTGCATCAGTTTGTACAAGTACTTCCAGACTTCTCTAAAGCTATGTCTTATGGCTCAAACTCATTTTCCATTACTGTTGTGTACCGTCATTGATTCAGCCATTTCCCAAAGGATGGGTGTCCCCGTAGCTTCCAGTTTTCTGCCACCACAAAAATAGCCGCTATACTATATATATTTTTGTATTCACGGGTCGTTTCTATCTTTGATCTCTTTGGGTTATAGGAAGGGCTCAGTCTCCAAGTCCTCCTTAAATCCATTCTTGCTTATGGGATAGTCCATGGTCAGTGGGGCTAAGAGGCCTCAGGAGTACCTAGCCATCTCCTTGGCTTGGTGACCAGTCAACTTGCTCCTTTGACTCTTTTTTAAAAAGTTTTTATTGATACCTTTTGTTTATTACACCACCATAATATCCCATGCATCCCTCCCAGAGAGCCATCCCATAAGACAAATAGTATTTTTTAGAGAGGAAGAAAAAAAAATCAGCACAACTGATCAATACATTGAAAAAGTCTGAAAACCTGTGCAATGTGTAAGACCTGTGGACCTCCCACCTCCAGCAAGGGGTAGGTTGGGACTGTCTTCTCATACCTCTTCAACTGAGTCTCACTTGAGCTTTATAATTGGGCTACATTTACTTTTGGTTTTCTGGTGTGTAGTTGTTCTCTCCATTTACATGGTTGCAGTCACTGTGTATATTCTTTTCTTGGCTCTGCTTCTTCCACTCAGTTCCATTCATGTAGCTCTTCCCATGCTTCTCTATGTTCATCCCACACATCATTTCTTTTTCTTTTTCTTTTTAGTGAGGCAATTGGGGTTAAGTGACTTGCCCAGAGTCACACAGCTAGGAAGTATTATGTATCTGAGGCCGGATTTAAACTCAGGTCCTCTTGACTTCAGGGCCGGTGCTCTATCTTCTGTGCCACTTAGCTGCTCCTCATACATCATTTCTTACAGCACAGTCCTATGCCCTTACATTCACGTACCATTCATTTGGCCATTCCTCAATTGATGGGCATCTACTCTGTTTCCAATTCTTAGCTATCACAAAAAGTAATACTATAAATATTTTTGGAGTATATTAGGACTTTTTTCCTTATTGTTGTTTTCCTTGAGTGTATAAGCCTTGTGATGGAGTCTCCGATTCAATTTTGGTAACTTCCTTTACATGATTCCAAATTACTTTCCAAAATGCTGACACCATTTCACAGCTCCACCAACAATGTATTAGAGTGCCCATTTTGCTGCAACTCCTCCAAGATTGACTGTTGCCATTTTTGGTCATTTTTGTGAATTTATCGTGCATGAGGTCAAACCTCAAGAGATATTTTGATTTACATTTCTTTTACTATTAGTGATTTGTAGCGTTTTTTTCATGTAGCTGTGAATTCTTTTTTTATTTATTATTTTAAAATTAATTTATTTTGAATTATCAACAATCACTTCTACAAGCTTTTGAGTTTTAAATTTTTCTCCCCTTCACTCCCTACTTCCCTCCCCAAGATGGCACGCAATCTGGTATAGGCTATACATATACATTCCTATTAAACATAGTGGTTGTGAATTCTTTACAATCCTTTTGAGAACTGTTAGTTCATGTTCTTTGCCCATTTATCTATTAGAGAAATGGCTATTAGTCTTAGATGTTTATTCACTGTTTATATATCTTAGATAGCAAACCCTTATCAAAGGAATTTGATGCAAAGATTTTTTCCTATTCGGGCAGCTCCCTCTAACTCTTAAAACCTCCTGCTCCTTCTTCCCTCCTCCTTTATCCTCCAGTCTCATTTTCTAATTTTTAAAATGGCCAACTCAACTCATTAATTTCCTCTTTTTCTCTCTCATTAATATCAGCCCTCAGGGAAACCAATTTGCCCCTAAGTTCTGCCTTGGATACATCCCATAAATTCTGATAATGTCGTATATCTATATCTCTATCATTGTTATCTCTAATAGAATTTGTTGCTGTTTCTGTCGTTTGGCCTTTCACCCCGGCATTACTCATTCACTGTGTTCTTCTCGCTGCTGATTATAGCAATTTGGTTTTCCTCTCTTCTCTGACTGATTATATTTGCTAAAGGTTTATCAATGTTATTGGGGTTTTTTTGCAAAATCTCAGCTCTTTATTTTCTTTCTTAATTCAATTGTTTTATTTCATTTCCATTTTGCTAATTTCCCCCTTAATTCCCATAATTTCTTGTACTCGCTTGTCTTCAGTGTATTAACTTTTTCATCCATCCTCCATTCTAGAGGAAGGACCACTGAATTTGGAGTCACAGACAGGGGTGGTGGATAAGGACCAGATCACTGGCATAGGGAATTCCTAGATGAGGAACGTTCCTCTACGAATGCAGGTCAGCTACTGCCCTGTAACTCGTCTTCTTGGAGAGTTCCCAGAGGCACTAGGGGTGAGGTGACTGGTCCAGTTTCATGCAGTGGTGGGATTTGAATCCAGATCTTCCTGACTCTGAGGCCGTTTCTTACCCTGCACTGTCTGGTCCTGCTTGCTGCCATACTCAGTATATGCAAAACAAACCTCAGAGAAAACAATACTTTCTATTCTCCCTTCCTCTTCTTTTTTTTATTTTTAATTTTTTTAAAATTTTATTAATTTATTTTGATTTATCAACAATCATTTCCATATGCTTTTGAGTTGAAAATTTTCCCCCCCTTTCTTCCCCCCCACCCTCCCCAAGATGGAGCACAATCTGATATAGGCTTTACATTTACATACCCATTAAACATATTTTCACATTAGTGAAGTTGTGAGTAAAAATTAAAACCAATAGGAGGAACCATCGGAAAGATGAAACAAAACTCAACAGAAGCTAAAAATAAGTGATAGCGATTTGACTTCCATAGTTCTTTCTTTGGATGTGGACAGCATTTTCCATCCCGAGGCCTCTGGGGATGTCTTAGATCCTCGTAATGCTGAGAAGGGTTCAGTTTAACAATCTTAGTCATTGCATAACGTGGCTGTTATTGTGTACAAAGTCCTGCTCACTTCATTCAGCATCAGTCCATACAAGTCTTTCCAGGTTTTTCTGAAGTCAGCCTGTTCCTCATTTCTTATAGCACAATAGTATTCCATTACATTCATATACTACAACTTGCTCAGCCATTCCCCAATTGATGGGCATCCCCTCAATTTCCAATTCTTTGCCACCACAAAAAGAGCTGATATAAATATTTTTGTACATGTGGGTCCTTTTCCCATTTGTTTGATCTCTTTGGGATATAGCCCTAGAAGTGCTATTGCTGGATCAAAGGGTATGCACATTTTTGTAGCCCTTTGGGCAGAGTTCCAAATTGTTTTCCAAAATGGTTGGATCATTTCACAACTCCACCAACAATGCATTAGTGTTCCAATTTTCCCACATCCTCTCCAACATTTATCATTTTCCTATTTTGTCATGTTGACCAATCTGATAGGTGTGATGTGGTACCTCAGAGTTGTTTTGATTTGCATTTCTCTAATCAATAACGATTTAGAGCATTTTTTCATATGACTATAGATGACTTTAATTTCTTCATCTGAGAACTGTCTGTTCATATCCCTTGACCATTTATTCCTTTCCTTCATTCAATGAGGGAAAACCCACTGCCTTGAAGGCAGCCTCATTTGGACAGCTCCCATTGTTAGCACATTCTTCCCTTGCTCCGGCCTAAATCTGTCTCTCAGTGCCTTGTACCTACTGCTCCTAGCCTGGCCCTCTTCTGCCAGGCAGAACAAGGCTGATCTCTTATAAATTTGTGTTCTTATAAATTTGTCTTAATTCTCTATACATTTTAGAAATGAGGTCTTTATCAGAGAGACTGGTTGTAAAAATTCTTTCCCAATTTTCTACCTTCCTTCTAATCTTAGCTGCATTGGCTTTGTTTGTGCAAAACCTTTTCAATTTAATGTAATCAAAATGATCCATTTTGCATTTCATAATGTTCTCTATCTCCTGTTTGGTCATGAATTCTTCTGTTCTCCATAGATCTGATAGGTAAACTATTCCTTGTTCTCCCAGTTTACTTATGGTATCAGCCTTTATATCTAAGTCATGAACCCATTTTGACTTTATTTTGGTATATGGTGTGAGATTTGGGTCTACTCCCTTCCTCTTCTTGCCCATTAACTTTCTCTTCTGGGTTCCACTTCGCCCCATCTTCAGCTGGGCATTTCCTGGGGTTTCCCAAAGCACCAAAAATGAGGGTAGTATGAGCAGCAGCCCAAGCACCCACAATAGGATCCTTGGCTTTTTAAAACCCAAAGGGAGCTTGGAGATCATATAATTTTAGATCTACAACAGGAGGGGATCTTAGAGACCACTTCATCTACCACCTTCCTTTACTAAAGTGGGCAAACTGAGGCCAGAGAGGTTGTGACCCGCTCAAGGTTACAGAGGTAGGTCTAAGTGTCAGAGTCAGGATTCAAACACAGGTCCGGTAATTCCATGCTCAGTTCACCAGGCCTAGACTCTTTCCCTGTGGCATGGAGTCCAGTAGCCTCTTTGCACATGAGGAAGTCACAGCCTAATTCAATTAAACAAAGACTTAGTAAGTACCTCTTCTGTTATGGGCTGGAGATACAAGGATTAAGAAATGACAGAATAAACTTTTAAAAAAAGGAAAAAAAGAAAGAAATGACAGAAAACCTGCTCTCAATGGTGGCAAGCTGGGACACATCCAGAGGGAACCAGTTGGGCCAGTGAGAGGACCAGAGGCCAGACAGGGAAGGCACGACCCATGTCTTCAAATACCAAAGGGTAATCATGTGGACAAGAGATCAGCCTTGTTCTGCCTGGCAGAAGAGGGCCAAGCTAGGAGCAGTAGGTACAAGGCACTGAGAGACAGATTTAGGCCGGAGCAAGGGAAGAATGTGCTAACAATGGGAGCTGTCCAAATAAGGCTGCCTTCAAGGCAGTGGGGTTTTCCCTCATTGAATGAAGGAAAGGAATAAGCATTTATTAAGGGCCTGCTATGTGCCAGGGAGCCTGCTATGTGCTAGGCAGGGCAGCTAGGTGGTGCAGTGTCTGAAGTCAGGAGGACCTGAGTTCAAATCCAGTCTCAGATACTTGCTAACTGTATGACTCTGGGCAAGTCACTCAACTCTGTTTGCCTCCATTTCCTCATCTGTCAAATGAATTGGAGAAGGAGATGGTAAACCACTCTGGTGTCTTTGCCAAGAAAACCCCCAATGGGGCCATGAAGAGTCGGACACGGGTGAAAAACGACTGAACGACACATGTGCCGGACAGCGTGCTAAGTACTTTACACATATTACCTCATTTCATCCTCACGACAACTTTGTGAGATGGGTGCTACTATTTCCACTTTACAGTTGAGGAAACTGAGGCAGACAGAGCCAGGATCATGCAGCTAGTATCTGAGGTCAGTTTTGAGCTCAGGTCTTCCTGACTCCAGGCCCTGGCTCTATCCACTGCACCACCTAGCCCCTCTGAATGAATGAATGAAAGGCATTTATTAAGTGCTTACTATGTGCTAAGCATTATGCTAAGTGCTGGAAAGATAAGGGGTGAGGAGATGGCCAGGGGCTAGAGTGAAGTGAGGATCTCCTTACAGTCTTCCAGCAGAGGCTGGGTCACCACATGTCAGTGACATTGTAGTGGGGGGCACTGGGGTGGGTCTTATTCAGGGGGCTTCCGAGAAACCTCCCTAGAGAGGCAGGGCTTTAGATGTACCCGGCCACTCAGTGCCACTCAGTGCGCAGGCTTCCCTGCTTTGCTCTGGGCTCTCTCTCTCAGCCCCCAGGCCCCATGTCTCCCTCTGCTTCCCCTGGGGTCCTTGTCACTGCCTCCCTTGGTTCTCTCTCAGGTGGCTCAGTTCCCTTTCAAGAACAACATGAGTTTTGTGTCCGTGGTCCCCAGCCAGTTTGAGTGGAATGCCTCCCAGGTTCTGGGCAATCTGAGCGGGGCTGCCTTGTACCAGCCCTTCATGAAGGAGAGGCCCACGGAGGTGATGCTCCCCAAGCTGCACCTGGACCACCAGATGGACCTGGTGTCGACCCTTGGCCAGTTGGGTAAGACCCCTAGGATTGGAGCAAGGAAAAGAGCTCTGTGTGTGTGGTGGGGGGGGGGGCAGCAGAGCACGTGCCTAGGATTTGTCTTCTCAGTCCACTCCTTGAACTGGAGGTTGGAAGGTGGGAAGACAGTAGTGGCTTGAGCCCTTAGATACGTCCCCTGGCCTACTGGGAGCCCCTGGAGAGCCTAAGTTTAGAGCTGGAAATCCTAAAGACCATCTAGATCAACCCCCTCATTTTACAGTTGAAGAAACTGAGGCCCAGAGAGGTTAAATGTGACCTACTCAAGGTCATATAGCTAGTAAACAGCAAAGCCAAGATTAAAATCTAGATTAAAGCATAGAGTTAGAGCAGGAAGAGACTTTCAAGGATGTCGGGTCCAACTCTCTTATTTTACAGATGGTGAAACTGAGCCCCGGCAAGGCTCTGTCCCCTAGCTGAGAAGTGTCAGAGTCAGGACCTGAACTCAGATTTTTCGGATCTGAATCCAGACCTCTGTCCACTCCACCATACTCCCTCCTGTCTGACTCAGAAACCTGGTACTCTTCATGTACCTGGTACCTTATATTTCTGTGCAAGAGGAATGGGAGTGTGGCCAGGGGAAAGATCCCTGGCCTGAGAGTCAGGACTCCTTGCTTCTCTACCTTGGCCTGCCTCTGACTCAGTGGATCATGTTGGGCAGCCACTTCCCCTTTCTCTTCCCAGGTGCTTCCTCAGTAAAAAGAGAGGTCTGGTCTTGCCCAGGAGTTCTTATTCATTTTTGTGTTACGGAGAAGAAAATAATAAGTACATATATGGCGCCTGCTACGTGCCAGGCACTGTGTTAAGCACTTTACAAATATTAGCTAACCTTATCCAAAGGGTTCACGGGCCCGTTTGACAGTCTGGGGAAGCCTATGGACCCCTATTCAGAATTATGGTTTTAAACACAAAAAATAATATTTTGGATTACAAAGAAGACCAGTTGTATTCAAATAGTTATCAAAACAACAATAAACAAGCCAAAATGGAGCCAGGAGCCAGGAGCTCTAAGGGGGTCTGGAAGCTTAAGGAAATCTCTAGCTATGAGGGTGGACATTTCTGTCAGGAAGAGGGAGGAGCCCAGCCACAGGGCCATGCTCTGGACCTCAGACTACTGCTGCCCCTCTCCCTTAAAGGGCAGATGGGCCAGGTTTCCCCTTTGGGCACAGGTTTCTAGGAAGGGAGGGCTAGGTCCTCTCACAGTAATGACCAGCTTCCCCCTGCCTCTGGACAGGCCTCCAAGAGCTGTTCCATGACCCAGACTTACGTGGGATCTCAGAGAAGAAGCTTGTGGTGTCCAGTGTCCAGCACCGGGCCACTCTACAGCTGGACGAGGCTGGTGTGGAGGCATCTGCTGTCACCAGCGTGGTCATGTCCCGCATGTCCCTCTTCTCTGTCAACATGAACCGGCCCTTCCTGTTTTTCATCTTCGATGATATCACCCACCTTCCACTCTTTGTGGGCAGTGTCAAAAACCCCAACCCCAGTGGGCAGAAAGAGATCAAGGAACAACGGGATGCCCCTGACAATAAGGATTTCCTCCCAGGACAAAAATTCTTCTTTGTGAAAGACAAGTTCTTTGGCCCCAACTTGAAATTCTCTCCCCCCATGGAGGAAGATGACTACCCTGAAGCCCAGAACCCCAAGTGAAGGCAGGTGGAGTTGTGGCACCATCCTGTACCCTCCAGTCCAATCTGAGTTTCACCACTGAGACTGGGTTTGAGGCAAGGACTCTGACCTCTTTTGACTGTTTCCAACCAGTCTGCCAATATGGGATGAGGCACTGGTGCCAGGGGAGGGGTTTGGGATCAAGAATAGAGATTAAGTGGGACAGGGGAGGAGAAGATGAGAAGATCCCATTCCCTTCCCTTCTCCTTGGGGTAATGGTGGGACTGGGGTGGGAGGGCAGGAAGGGGTAGGACATTAAGGAAATGTAGGCTGTCAGGGGTGGGAGGGATGGGCCACTTTATCCTCCTGTGTTAGCCATTGCAAAAGGGCTGGGAGGATTTCTCTTTTCTGGGGCTTGGGGCTTGCACACTGATTGTCAGTGACAGAGGTCATTCACAAAAGAAAGTGCAGCACTTCACAGTTTGTTTACAGTTATTCTGGTGGAGGAGGAGGTAGGGGTACAGAGGTGGAAGGTGAGGGAGGGGGCAAAAACTGCTTGGTGCCTCTCCTGACTGTATAGGATTGGGACAAACCCACCAGTGTTGATGGAACACACAATCATCTTACTCTGAGGAAAGGGCTGCCTATTGGCAGGGGTAGTGGGAGAAAAAAGATGGCAACCAATTCATCAGAATCACAGATGCTAGATTTGTAAGCTGGAAGGGACCTTAGAGATCATTTAGTTAAACCTCCCTTCATTTTACACATGAGAAAACAAGTCCCAAGAGACAGACTTGCCCAAGGTCACAGTAGCTAGTAGACCTCTGGTTTCATGTACTGCACACCACTGGTGATATCGTAGCAAGAGTATCTAACTGGGCTTTAGTCCTGGCTCTTCTGTGTACCTTTTGGAAGGTTTAATGAAGGGGGGTACACTAGATAATCCCCGAGGTCCCGTCTCGCCCTCATGTTCCCAGAGTTGATGGCAACATCAAGGTGAAATCCTGGACAGAGGAGACCCTCATTGGCCTAGTGGCAAGTTCTCCCAATCCCACAGCAACCCAGGCCTGACCCCACTTAAACTTGCCTCAGCTCGCCTCCAACCATCCCCAAGGATCCCAAAGTCACCAGATTGGTTCTCCTTCTCTCCTCCGAGCGCTGCTTGTCGTGGGCAGGGGGGGCGATTGGAGGCTTGTTTTGTAAAGTTTTTCTAGTGATTTTTATGTCTTCTGAATAATAAAGAATGAATTGGCTAGGCTGGTCTGATGTCACTGGGCTGGAGAGCCTTGGGAAGTGGCTGGGTGATGGAGGATAGAGGGTAGGAGTGAAAGGCAACAGGACAGCTATATAATGAGTAAAGATTAAAATGGACAGGGTGGGAGGAGATGGGAGAAAGAAAAAAGGCCTTACTTTGGAGGTGGGAGGAGGGTGCACTGATGAATGCTTGCTCCTAGGGTGAAGAGGGGTGATCTGTAAAGGGAGATGGGGACCTTGCACTCAGTATTTCCTGAGAGATTTGATGTTTAAAAAGTCTATTTGCCCTATCTTGGGAAGGGGGGAGTTGGAACTCCTGAGGGCAACTGGAACCTGGGAAAATGAGAGAACACGGACCCAGGAAGGAGATTTTGAGGCAAATGGGGGAAAAAGGTGACTGGGGGGAAGATACAGATCAGTGGTGGGCTACATAATCAAGAATGGGGGGAGGGTCACTACCAGATAATTATAGGGGTCATGAATCAAAGAATGAATATAGAGTAGATAGAAAGAGAGGATGGATGAAGAAAGTGAGAAAACTTCTTTTTGGAAATGGGTACAAAAAATGAAATAAAAATTAATACACAAGACTAGTTGAAGGGGAGGAGAGGAAGAAGAAATCTACTTGACAGAGAGAAAAAAAGGGGGGAAGAATTGTAAAACCAAATAAAAGTAGGAGAAGAAAGGAACTAGTAAGTAAAGCCCCAAAAGGAGAGAGGTTAACAAATGAGAGGAGGGGGTCAGTGGTAAGGGAAAAAGAACCAGTGAGAACAAGGCCGCCTTTAAAAAGATTAAGGCAGAGTAATTAAAGGACATAGTAGTCTCTTTAGAGTGGGAGGGGAAAAAGAATAATTTGGAAAAAAAAAAGCAATATTAGACACAGATGGAGGAAAATATAAACCTAACTCTCATAACTTTAATTGAACCCAATAAAATTGAGAAGAGTGAGAGATTGGATAAGAAAACCCTACAACCTGTTGGTTACAAGAAACAAAGACATTCACAAAATCAAACTGGGGAGGTGGAAACAATTTTTTTTTGCTATACTTCAAATGAATCCAAAAAGTAGGAGTTGCAATCATGCTACCTGACGAAACAAAAACAAATATCCAAAAAATAAAAAGGGATAAACAAGCAAACTATATGATATAGAAAGGAGCCACAGACAACAAACTTATATATTTAGGAAACTTCTTATATGCTCCTTAGCATCCACAAGGGAAACATCTGAGCTACAAAAAGATATAGACAGTAACACAATAGGAGACTTCAATGGCTCTCTTTCAGTTTTGGACAAGTGTAGCAGAAAAGATAAACAAGAGGAAAAATATGGAGCTGCACAAATTTTTGGAGAAACTAGAGTTAAAAGATTTATAGCATCTTCTAAATGGGACAACAAAAGAATATAAGTAGTTCTCAGCACCACATGAAACTTTTACAAAAATTACCAGGCAAGAGATATTGCAAACAAATGTAAAAAGACAGAACTACTTAACACGTCCTTTATAGACCATAACACCATAAAAATAGTATTTGGTTCAGGGGACCACAAACAAAAGATACAACCCGACATGAAAATTTAACAATGAAATACTAAATAATGAGTGGGTCAAAGAATAAATCTTTTAACAATTAGTAACTATGAGTAGATAGAGCACCAGCCCTGGAGTCAGGAGGACCTGAGTTCAAATCTGGCCTCAGACACATAATGCTCACTAGCTGTGTGACTCTGGGCAAGTTACTTAGTGCCCCCCCAAAAAAAAACCCCATCACAATTAATAACTATGTAAAGGAAAATGATAGTGATAAAAAATATAACAAGATTTCTGAAATGCAAGCTAAAGCAGTCCTCATGGGGAAAAATCATATTTTTACAAACATACATGAACAAAATAGAAAAAGAGAGGATTAATGAATTGAATATGCACTTTAAAAATTAGACAATCAACAAATAAACAAACCTAAAATAGGCATAAGAAAAATGAAAGGGGAGATAGATAAATTGGAAACAAACAACTATAGAAATGACAAATAAAACTGAAAGTTGGTTCTTTGAAAAGACAATAAAATAGGTAAACCCTTACCTAATGTGATGAAAAAGAAGAGAATAGAAAATCAACTAAATAAAAAAGCAAATGAGCAAGGTAAAAATCACAGCAAAACCGGGTGGAATAAGAATAATTGGAACATATTATGCATAGTTATATACTAACAAAATAAAGAACACACATAAAAAAATAGAGAAATACCTTCAAAAATAGAAAATTCACGAAGTATCAGAAAACCAGTTAGACATCTTAAATAATTCAAATTCAGAAAAGGAAATAAATCCAGCTATAAAGGAGCTAAAAAAGAGAAAAAACTCTTAGTCCTGATGGATTCACAGAAGAACTCTATCAAACTTTTTAGAAGACAGTACCCATACTTCACAAATTATTCTCAAAAATTAAGAAGGAAAGTGCCCTACCAGAATCCTTTTATGAGAAAAATATAGTTCAAATACCTAAACTAGGGAAAGATGAAAGACGGAAAGAAAACTATAGGCCAATATCATTAAATGAACAATGACTCAAAAATTTTAAACAAAATCTCATCATACAGATTACAGATGTTTGTCTAGAAAGTAATTAATTATGATCAAGAGGGATTAATATTAGAGAAACAAGGATGGTTCAATATTAGGAAAATAATCAACATAATTAATCATACCAAACCAAGGCATCCAAAATCAGATGATCATCTCAACAGATGCAGAAAAAGCCTTTGACAAAATACAGTACTCTTTTATGCTAAAAAACCTTACAAAGTATTGGCACAAAGGAACCTTTTCTTAATTTCATAAAAAGCATCTATCTAAGACCAAAACTAATGTTGTTCACCCTTTGTACTTAGAAGAAGACCAATGACGTCATGATGTTGGGGGTCAAGGTACAGTGTGTTCAACTGTGGCTGATCAGTTCAATAGGAACTCAGAAGGCTCTACCACAGGTCAGACACAAATAGTCCATTTGAACATTTGGAATACAGATGTCTGTGGATTTGTGCATCTCATGTTTCCTATGTGCTACCATGATTCTGCTTTTTTTGTTTGTTTTTTGTTTTTGGTGATGGGGTTAAGTGACTTGCCCAGGGTCGCGCAGCTATTGAGTATCATCTGTCTGAGGCCACTTTTGAAAGCTCAGGTTCTCCTGACTCTAGGGCCAGTGCTGTACCCACTGCACCATCTAGCTGCCACTGTGATTCTGCTTTGCTCACAGAGCACAGCACCTTCTTTGATGTGGGCATGTTGGTCCTATGCCATTGTTTCTCGTATCTTACAATCAGTACTAAAGTTCTTCAGAGAGACCTAGGAAGTGTCTTTGTACAGCTTCTTCTGACCTCTGTGTGAGCACTTGCCTTGTGCAAGTTCTCTGTAAAATAGTCTTTTAGGGTAAACATACATTTGACATTCAGGCTATATAAGAGTGAAGCAAGAATGCTCACTTTCCCCACTATTTGATATAGTTCTGAAAAGGCTCTAGCACTAAGATAATAGTACCAAGCAATAGCACTAAGGCAAGAGGAAGGAATTAAAGGAATAAAGATAGATAAGCCTACCCCCATTTACTGAGGATACAGTGGTTTACTTGGAAAATCCTATGGAATCAGGAAAGATGTTAAGACAATAACTTTAACAAAGTTGCAAGCTACAAAATAAATCCTCAAAATTCAACAGCATTTCTGTATAATAATAAAAAAATACAAGGGAAGTCCCATTCCAAATAACTACAAAATGCATAAAATATCTGGAGATTGACCCACCAAAGCACACAAAAGATTTGTATACAGAAAGGAAACTATAGGCTAATATCATTAATGAACATTGACTCAAAAATTTTGAACAAAATCCTGTCAGACTACAGTGATTTATTCAAGAATACATTCATTTTAATCAAGTAGGATTAATACCAAGGAAGCAAATAATCAACATAATTAATCATATTAAAACCTTTCCAAATTACAAAACTCTCCTTAAAGAAATAAAGAACAACTTAAAAAGCCAAAGGAATATTCAATGCTCATGGGCAGGCGATGCTAATGTAATAAAAATGATAATCCGAGCAAAATTAATTTGCACTTTTAATGTTATACCAATCCAATTAACAAGGGGATACTTTATAGAACTTGATAAAATAATAACAAAATTAATTTGGAAAGACAAAAGATCTATAATATCAAGGAAAATGATGAAAAGAAGTAGGGATGAAGGGGAAGTAGCACTTCCAGATATCAATTATATCATAAAGCAGCAGTTATCAAAACCATTAGGTGGCAATTAAAAATAGATAGATCAGTGTAACAGACTAGACAAAGGAGAATCAGAAACATAGAACTCAATAATCCAATATTTGATAAAGTGGAAGCATAAGTTGAGTAGGGAAAAACTACTTATTTGATAAAAACAGCTGCGAAAATAGGAAAGGAGTCTGACAGAAATTAGGCTTAGACCATCACTTATGCTATATTCCATAATACATTCTAAATGGATACGTGACCTTACTAACAAAAATCATACTATACAAAATAGAAGAGAAATAGATCATATATCTCTCACAACTACAGGTGGAAGATGAATTCTTAACCAAACAAGAGACAGAAGCAATTACAAAAGATAAAATAGATAGCTTTGATTCCTTGAAACTGAAAAGCTTCTGCACAGATGAAATTAAATTAATGTACCTAGGGAAAAACAGTGGTCAAATGGAAAAAAAAATCTTCATATCAAATTTCTCTGATAAATGTTTAGTATCCAAGCTATTTCAACAATTTATATATATATATATGAGTTATATATGTATATGTATATATGTACATATATGACTAATACTCATTCCTCAATAGACAAATGATCAAAGGATATGAACAGTTCCAAAAAAGAATTGCAAAGTATTCAAAATCACATGAAAGAATGCTCCAAATCACTCATAATAGAAATGCAAATCAAAACAACCCTCACATT